CTTATTAGAATAATAAGATTATCTTTTAAATAAATATATTGCAAAAATATACTTTTGTTGACTTCGATATTCTTCAAGAAATTCTATTAATGCTTTGAGTACATGATTTGGATGTATTAATTCAACACGATTATCAACAGTATCGGTTATTTGTTGATGACTTGTCTGAAAAAAACAAAAACAATTAGAGTGATTATTCATTCTATTGAATAAAACTGTACATCGGTTCCTTCTTCTTCTTCTTCTTCTTCTTCTTCTTCTTGTTCAGGACCAGCACCACTTGATACATAAACTTTTGATTGTTGATCAGTATTTTGTTGAATATAATCAATAAAATATTTAGCCATAACTTCAATATCTTCTTCATTTTCAATTTTTAATGCACGAAAAATAGCATCTAATTTAATTAAATTTTTTTCATTGCTTTCTAATGGTTCAAGTAATGCTAATAATTTTGGTTCAATAAGAAAATCCTAAAAAGAAGAAACATTTTTTTTTCTTTGAATCTATTCTACTTACTCCTTCATCACAAAGTAATTCAAGCATATTTTTCATTGTTGTATTTGATAAATGACTAGTTGTTTGTTTAATGGAACTATCATCTTGTTGATCAGTTAAGATTTCTCGTACAACATCAATTGATGGTTTAGGTATTTTTGTTGCATCAATTGGACCAATATTATTCATAAAATCAAGATCAGGTGGTGTCCAAATAAGACCAAGTTGATGTTCAAATATAATTCTATCAGCATCAAGTAATTTTTGTGCCATTTCTTTACAACGTTCTTCATTCATGATCCATAATTCATGAAATTTTTCCATATCAGCTGTTAAAAAATGTCTAAATGATAAGAAAAAAAATTAGAAATTTTATTAGATTCTTTGTTTTATCGATTCAGACTGATTAAGTAATTGATGTAAGAAATATTTGTTAATAAAATAGTTAATGGTTGTAAACGCAAAACAAAACATCTTCAAAAAGAAAATTATCTAGAAATTTCTTTATTAGGAATGAAATATTAATCAAAATTATTTTATTGAAATCTGCACAAAGTGAACAATCATTCTGTAGTTATTAGACATGGATCGAACCCCAACTCTGGCTCAGTGTTCGAAATGAACGATTTGCACTCGGATTAGGAAACTATTCAAAATAGTGTCGAGTATTTGGTAGAGTCTTGTGGGACAAACCTTTTTCCAGTCTTAAATTCCGTTTGCCCCGTACCGAAAATTTTCGGGAAAATCTCGAGTGTCCCGCAGGATTCTAGTATTTGGATAATTGCTCAAGCGTTTCTTGAGATATATGGGCAACCATAGAAGTACCCTATGTTCCAGTTAAATTCGGATATTTTTGAACATTATTGACCTTTTAAGAGATTCCTGTAGATTTTCGGTATTTGGATCATATATTCTATTGTATGTAGATCTACTATAGCTAAGAGTGAAATCTTAACATTCAGTATATTTATAATCATTAGTAAATATTAATTAATTCGATGTGGTAATATTTATCGAATTGTGTACCTATTAGTTATAACTAATGTTGGAAAATATTTGTAGAATTATTTTAAATCATTAAACATTTTAGAATAAAATTATAAGAATTATACAAAAGGATTTCTTGAAAATTTTTATCAAGTGTTGACTTTGGTTTAGTATCGAAGACGCAAACCAATCTGATCGATAATATGAACTTTAATTAAATAAATACTTTGAAATTGATTATTCAATCAATATTTTAACTAATCTTCGAAAAAAGAATAATTGTTATAATCTAGGAGCCTCTATTATTCTTTCACGACTTAATACTGATAGAATTTCAATAAACAATGTTTTTATGAAGCGTGAAGATCAGGATACAGATGTTCCCTCAACGATCAGTTATGCTGTTCTCGAATTATTAGACGTTCTGTTGAGAATTATATGATTACGCCTATCAAAAAAAAAAGTATATGTTCCTCTCTTTATAATTCAAAACTCCTTCTTCAAACTAGTGGTGTAACCGGTAAAAAGTTATAGGAGGATTCAGCCTCCTGACCATGCCTGTAGTGAAGATAAAGACGCTCTAGTAGCATGCTTCAGTCACTTTTGAGCAGAACTCAACCTTTGTGACAGTGCTATCATCATCAGAGATATCACATTTAGAAATAGTTTTTCTTTTTCTTGTATCATTTTGTCACTCATAAAAAAAAACCATTTACTTGGCTTTTCGTTTAATTTCTTGAATATTTCCTAATGTTCGTTTATATTCTTCAGCTGCTTGTATACTTTCACTTTTAAATTGTTTTTCTTTTTGTACTAATTTTCTTTTAAGACTTGTTAATAAATCATTTAATTTAATTTTACGATTTTTTTGTACGCCAATAGTTAATAAATTTTCTTCATCACGTTTTTTTAATACTTTATAATTATATTCATATTTTTCTTGACTTAATTGATAAATAGCTTTCATTTCTTCTATTTTGCGTTGTTGTTCTTGTACTTGATTTTCTAATTTAACTTTAGTTGCATTAAATTCTTCAGCTTGTTTTATACGTAAACGTTGTAATTCACGTTCAAATGTATCATGACGTTCAAAGCGTGATACAACAAATTGTTCCTAAATACGAAAAAATAAAATTCTTTTTTAAAATAAAATCAAAAAATAATATTTACTTCTTTAAAACGTCGTTCTTCTAATTTTTCTGTCCATTCACGATTATATTTATCTAATAATTCTTGTCGTTCTTTTATAAATGCTTCTTCAATAGCATGTAATTCACGTGCATAATACATTCGACGACTTTTAACTTGTTCATTCATACGTTCAACAAGTAGTTTGACATTTTCATCAAATTTACGTAACATTTTAACATAATAATCATCTTTATTTTTTAATTCCTAGAAAAACATCAAGTTAATCCTTCATTATTCTTATTTCACATTGTATCTTATTTTGTATCTAGTTTTGATATTCAAAATAATTATTATTTGTTTTAAATAAAGATTAAAAGTCAAGATCATAGAGAGTTATCGAACTTAGAAGTGGGAAGGAAAAAAAAATACCCCTGCCTTTTCGACTATCTTGCGATATGGGGTGCTGCCTAGCAGCAGACTCAGTGATCCGATGTCTTTCCTACAATTAACAGTAACCATAGATCTGGATAGAAGGCCAATCTAACATAGAGTTCTTGCGCTCAATTGCTTGAACTTTTCATACACACTAACTAACCGCAAGAGCAGTTGTATGTCACAACGTAGTCAGGATGCTATAGAAAAAGTCATCCAAGATAATTGTCCAGGATCATCCCATGACTGATAATAGTGAGGTTTGAACACAATACCTTTTGATTACATGCCGAACAACGCAGTCATATAATCACGGTGGTTTAACTTAGGGATGTGCAGTTTCAGTTTACTGACCACCTGTTCAGTGTAGTTAACGCACACTGGCACCAATATTCACTGAGACATCAGAACATCCCTCTACCAAAAGGGTATACTTTTATAGAATTGGTATATAAATGTTGCTGCGAACTTGGATACCATTGTCCTAATAGACTCTTTCGATCATCCACTACTCAGTATTGACACTAACATTGCACATTCCTAGTTAGACTGTATTTCAAAATTTCATATGAACATATCTGTTAGAATAGGTTTGTTATGGGAAAAACAATGATAATATAGAAAGTAGAAAAAGTTTTTCAATACATGTCGAAAAATGTTAATTCAATTTTGGTCTAAATATAAGAAGGTAATATTGAGATGCAATAAGAAATTTTTTTTTCTGAAATATTCATTTCTATAAGAATAACTATATTTCATACAATCCTTCTAAGTTTATATCATTCCTAGTATGTCAAAGGATCATGATTGGATGTTTTGCTAAGAATTTTCTCAGTACCTGTGTACTTACCAGATACATACCCTGTTTCTATACCATTCTATGAAAAATTGTTCAACGAGTTAGTCGATTGAACATTTACAAGCATTAAAAACTATAAATTACTCAAAGGTTCCTCTGACATATTAGTATCAAGGTTTCTTGAACTCAGTATTTTCACTAGAGATGTCTTCTTTTTATTTTGTTCCAATAAATCAGGAGATTATAATAATAATTCATATATAAACTTAATATTAATAAACAAACCTTTTCTAATTCTCCAATTAATTTATTTTTTTCTTCAAGCATTGTGCCACATGCATGTTTTTGTGCCATAAGTAACTAAAATATATAAACTATTTAAAATTATTTAAATAAAATATAATTTTTTTACTTCATGTAATTCTCTTGGAAGTTCTTTTGTTCGAGCACTTTCCCAATTTCGAATAATCTATTATTAATACACAGAAAAAAAAAATAAAAATGTTTTATTATTTATTTTGTTGAATATTAATTACTTCATCAAATTTTTCTTTTGATGATTTTGTATCTTGTTCTAAACGTTCATTTCGTTTTCTTGTTGCTTCTTCTTCTTCTAATCGATGTTGATGTTCTAATAAATCTTGACCAACACGTATATTTGTTACCTAATATTAAAATTTTCTTTTATATTTTAATTAAATTATATAGAAATTCATACAAATTCTAAACCATCTTCTTCTAGTTTAACTAAACGTTGTCGTGATTGTTCTGTTTGATCTTTAGCTAAACTTGCTTCATCTTTATGTTCATCTTCAACTGGTGATATAATACCAAGTGTTTTACTATATGATTAAATAATAAATTTTCAATATAAATAGAAGAAAATTTGATCAAGAAAAATACCGTTTTTTTTGTGCAATACGTTGTTCAACACGAATACGTCTAGCTAATACTCTTTCATCACGATTTTGTGATGTTAATGATGGTCCTTGATTATCATCATCACCTTTTGATTTTTGATTGATAGCTAATAATTCCATTGTAATGTTTAAAAATAAAAAATTTTCTTTTTGTAATATTCAATATTCAATATTCATTAGTTGATTTTTTTCTATCGTTACACCTCCATTTTTCTTTTATTTAACTAAGTTTATAATAATAACAAGACGAAAAAAAAGAAAGAAAAAGAGAACGTCATCTATTGAAAGAATAAAGATGGCGTAAATTAAAATAATATAGAAAAAGAAAAGAAAATGAGATTATCACATAAAAAAATTATAAATGTCTCATTGTTCGAATTGCTGTAACCATACGTGCTGGTTTATGTCGAGCAAGTTCTTCAAATGTTTCTTCATCAATATTTAATAATTCAATCATATCACGAAATTCAGCTACATCTTTAAGACCAAAATCTTCTAGTATACTATACAGATATTCTTTAAAAAAAAGAAAGAAAATATTGAAGTTTTGAAAAAAAATTCAAATTAAACTTACGAAGATCCATTATCAATTGTTTAAGACCTGTTGAAGTTAATGTTTGAATTTTTAATGTTTGTTCAATACATAAACGCATTGTAGCCAAAGCAATAGAATCAAGCCAACAAGATGTTAAATCATTATATAATTCTACAAACATAAAGTTTAATTTAGCATGATAAAGTTCAAATGAATGAAGGGTTGACTAGATAATAGGAACTTTCAATATTTTTATATAAAACTTTTTGCTCGTTTTTGAACTTCCTTAAAAATGTTTTATCTAATCATGAGCAGCATTGAAACCATCTTCTCCATATTTAAGTTTCTCATATTTTGCAAAGCCTACATATGGTCTATTGAAATACTGTATCCAACGGTTTCTATTCCCTTTGCTAAAAGACATCAAGTTGTGGAAAAAAGACGAGCAACAATGTATTTTTGATTTTCTTTTTTTTTTGTGTAATATTTGAAAAAAAAGTAATGGAGTATAGATGTAGGTGTCGATGTAATTCTTCTCCTGATCCAAATCCTACATTCGGTCCTTAGAATAGGGTATAAGAGGAAGCAGACCAAAACAATTACTATTTATCGTCGTAAAAATAAGCTTGATAAACGATATTCTGACCTTATAAATGTAATGGAATGTTTAAATAGCTTGTCATTTACAGTCGCCCACCGGAAAAACGATACAATTATTTCTTTTTTTATACATCTCTTGACTTATGTCTGATCTACGTTATAACATTATTATTATGGTAACAATCAAAAATATCTTGTCAGTTGAAATTATTGATATTTTTCTTTTCGACCTTTGTATAATATATCAATTAGTATAAGTTCATATTATATAGGTCAGTCTGACAATCAAACTCAAGTACCTTTCCACACTTCACTGATACTAAAATCTTGAATTACAATGAAGTGTTTAGACTTTCTTACCAAACAAACTTATATAAAATTGAATTAATTGGTCTTTAAAATGTTACTATTAAAAAAAGTAACTTCGGCACAATCTATCATGTCCGATTCTGTTTTTTTAGAAACTCTGTCATTATAATAATACAATCCATTAGAAAGAAAACTATTTGATTTTGTGCCAAGTGCTTAACATTATAGAACAAAAATAAATCAAAACTAAGTTATTGTTAAACTTTTTTCTGCCACTTGACATTGATTTTCTTTGTTCAAATTTTTGAAGTTTTTCAAAAATTTCATTGATGCAAATTTTTAAACTCTCCTACATTGGTTTTTAATTAAATAACGTTTAATAGATTTCATTCCATATTCAATTTTAAAGATTTCTATTGTTATAATACTTTGTAATGTTGGGTTTTTTCTCTATTATTAATTGTTTAATCATAAAAATAAAAAAAAGATGATCATACCTTTATCTTCAAGATAAGGTAATTTTCCTTTTTTAAATGCAATTCCTAATTGTCGATTATCATGTAAATTAAATGGTTCAAAATGTTGTGGAAGCATTAAAAGATATTGTCCAATCTATGAATAAAAAAATAAAAAAACTTAATATAAAAATTTTTAAAATAATATTTCTTCAAATTACTTTTGTTATATTTTCTTGTGGAACAAGACTAAACGAAGGTAAATCTGAAACAATTGTACCTCGATTTTCACTTGCCCAAATCTTTAAATAACAATAAAAAACAAAAAAGCATCTATAATGAAATGATTTTTTTTGCTAATATTTTATGATTTACTGGTAATTTTGAAAAACCATTAAGAAGTGTATGAATTGGTAAAAAGACAACATCAAAACTAAATTGATGACATTCATCACTAACTTTACTCAATAATTTTGGTATATCCGGAAAAAGACTATAAGTTGCATCTATATATATATATATAAAGAAAATAAATTTAAAATTCTATTTGCTTTTTATCACTACTTTCAAGTGCATTTGTAATTGATACAAAATCATGTTTATCTGATGATGATGTTTTATTAATAAATGATTCAATTGCTGAATCAAATATATCATGATGTTGTTTATGTCTATAGAAAAATTAATTTTTATTCAAACATGATATATAGATCTATAGAAATTTACTTATTAGGTTTATTTGGCCATTCATTAATCATTTGTAACATTTGTTGAGCTAATGATGATTCAAATTGTTCATAAGCAAGAATAAGTTCACCTGATTTTTAGAAAGTTGTTTTTTTTATAGTAAATGTTTATAAATTTTACCACATATTTCTAAGATACGAATTGTTTGTTGAAATAATTCCCAATCTTCAGTACCTAATATTTTTGAATTTCTTTCACGAATATTATTGACTACACGTTTTAATTCTCCAATATAGGCAGTAAAAAATTTCTAAAAAATATATTTTATTCATGAGAAGAAAATAACAAATTTATTATTTCTTTTTTTTTTCTCTTTATTATCACATACTTGAAGAACACTAAGAAGACTAATAATTGTTTGACCATTAGTTAATTGTTTACATCTGTCAATACTCTAATTGAAAAAGAACCAGAAAATCAGTTACATATTTTGTTTTTTTTCTTTTTGTTTTTTTTTTTTGTTTTGATTAATTCATTTAATTTACCTCATTTGCTAATGAAAATACATTAGGTATTGATGACATGAGTAATTGAATACTTGATGAAGTGTCACTGGTATCCTAGATAATATCATATTATGTCATATCATATCATATACAAAGGGTTTTTTCTTTTAAGTTTATAGCTATATGTTTACTACGAAAATATGTTGCTCATGGTATGAAATTTAGGAAGGAGAGAAAATCGACAAATGTATAATGTTTATATTATAAAATCTAGAAGCAAACTCTACTATTTGCTTAATGAAAATATTCCATTTGTCAATCATACAAAAGAAAACAAATAAATAAGTGCTATGTGCTTTTTTTTATAATAGCTGAAATTTTCCTTGTGTTGTTCATTGATTTTAGTATAACTCGATAACTTTCAGTTATTGTCTAAATTATCGAGTATTTGTAAGATAAGATGATTTTTATTTTAATCGAAATGAATTGTAGATTTTTTATGTACTATATTCTATATATAGTATCGTTAAAAAACAAAACGAAGTGACATACGACATCGGACATAGAATCTATAAGAATGAAAAAAATATTTTCCTTTAATTGTATGTTTTTCATGGATTATCTTGCTTTGCATATCTCTTTGCATATTTTTGTACACATACTCTTCCAATCAAAAGATTAGATCGACATAGAAGAAAATAAGTTTTGTCAAGCAATTAATACATACGAGTTGAATGGCATCGAGAGCATTTGTAAGTTGTTCTTGTTCATATGTAGAATAATTTTGAAATACATCCGTATAAGGTGAGTATAATTCAAAAACAAATATTTCAATTGTTGATAATGAAAGATTTTCTAATACAAAAACAAAAACAAAACGAAGAATTAAACTGTCTTTTAATCTAGCCAAAATAAGAATAAAGATAAGATCAGTCAATAGAGAAATTATGATATCATATTCGACATATATCTATATATATATATATATATGGAGCTCTTTCTTGTTGCTTTCATGTCTAAGATTTTCTATTAGTTAATAGTTGACAATTGGATAAGTTAATATTTTCAAGAATCTTTTTCTTATGTCACTTAAATAGGAAATCATCTATTTTTTTTTCTTAATTAGAGAATTATTCTAATTAGATTATTAATTAGTAAGTGTTTTTTTTGAATATACCACCTGATGATCGGATCCCTTGAGACGATACATTTTGATATAATGGTTGTAATTGATTTTGAATTGATTTACCAAATCGATCAGTAACCTAAAATAATAAATATATTATTTTTGTTCTTTCTTTTAATTGCTTTTAAAATATTATAGATGAGACAACAGACTCATTATATTAAGTACATAATAAATAAATGTCATCATTGGATATAGATTTCAACATAAGCTACCCTTCGATTTCTTTTTGATTATCCTCGGTTTTTTTTTCTTTCGACATATAACCTATTCTTTGACATTATACGATACATGGACTATTTTTTCTATATATGTATATTTGCAGATAACAGTTTAGAAGAATGTTTGTCGCGAACAACAAGAACCAAAACATTTCCTGTGTTGACAGGTTAAATTAAGAATAGGATATAATTTTCTTCTAAGAAAGCGATTTAGATAAATATACCGAAAAAAAAAAACGTAATTAGACACAAAACAATATATGACTCAATTAGTTAGGTCTTAAAATGGTAGAATTAACAAAAGTGGCAAAAAAAAAGAAAATACAAAAATAAAACAACTTTAATATTGTTGTTGTTGTTCTTATTCCATTTTGGTTTTTTGTTGTTATTAGTTTTATAAATTGACTCTTAACTAAATAAGTTTTTTTTCTGACAATAATGATAACAATAATCTTCTGCTTGTTTGTTTCTTTCTTGCATGTCAACTTTTGGAGGAAAGATGTCTTGTAATGATGAGTTATGTTGATAGATTTTAGCTTTGCTTTGTTCCTAGTAGTGCCACCAGTTTCATCCTATACTCCATTTATCAAACTAATCGACCAAAAACTGACACAAATAAAAGAAAGAGGATAACGATGCAACCAAGACTGTACTATTGTTATTTATTTACAAAATAGATATATACTGATGGAAAGCGATTTAACCAAGCGTCGTCCTTCGGTCATACCCGGTTCTTTACCTGGTTTACCGGCTGGATGGGCACCATCAATAGATACTGTCGAAGAAGATGTAAGTGATGATGAAGAAAATAATTCAAAATCATATTCATCAACAACAATCTCTTATTTACCACCAATAACAAATTATGAAACAAAACCATATCTTACAATAAAAAAATTTCAATATGAAAATCCAACATCTGGTCAAACAACAACAATGTCCATGGCACATACATATGGTATTTGTATATTAAATACAGAAGCTGAAGAAATTATAGCTTGTGATCATTACAATAATCGTTTACTTATGTTTGATTCAAATACAGATGGACGTTTATTACAAATATTTCGTGGTGATTTAGCAACACCAGAATGTGTTGCACCACGACCACATCATAAACAACATATTTATGTTACAAAAGGTCATTCAATATCATTATATGATTTAGAAAAGAAAAAAGTTATACAAAAGTTAGGTACTGAAGAAAGTGGTCATGCAAATAATCGATTTAATTTACCAAGTGGTATTACTGTCGATCCAACGAATGGGTACATTGATATTTGTTTAGATATATTTTGTTTCGATATATATTTATTTATTTATTTATCTTTAGCGAAATTTATATGTGTGACACATGGAATCATCGAATATGTGTTTTTTCACCTGATTTCCGTTTTGTTAATCGTCGTTGGTATTTAACACGATGGCAACAAACATACCATAAAGTGAAACCAAATTTTATAGCTGTTAATGCAAATAATCAATGTGCTGTTACATGTGAAGATGCACCAAATTATCGTGGTGCTGTTTATGTATTTGATAAAATGGGTTATATACAAAAAATTTATGATAATGATACACGCAGTAAACCAATTGTTGACGCTAAATTAAGTATTCCACATGGAATATTATTAGATGATGATGGTAATTGGTTAACAGTTTGTTATTCAGATCCTGAAGCACGTTCAGTTGAAAGACGATCAAATATTCAAGATGATCAAGATAATGAAATAATATCTTATTGGCGTGGTAAAGATTTAAAAGGTCCTAGTGGTTTAGCAATGAAACGTGACCAAACATTAATTATTGGTGATCGAGATAATAATTCTATAAGCTTTTTTAAACAACAAGAAGCATCAAAATCAGAAGCAGCAAAATAATATGAATAGAAAAACAAAAAACAATAGTCATAGATTTTTGCATGTGCGTTATAAATGCTTTATTTATTCTAAATACTTCGTAGAGTTTAACTTGGCACTTTTAATTTTCTTTTTCTTTTTCTTTTTTTTACTTTTCTATAACTTACTCGTTTACATGCAATTAATATATCGAGTCGGTTTTTTGATGATATTGTTTGTTGACGTTGTAGTTCTGTATTAAATTGATTTTTATATTTACTATGAAAAATTTTAAGACCATTTAATATAATTGATAGTGTAACACGATTTGGATGGTTAAAAATTTTTGTAGACCAACGTATCTATAAAAACAATAAAACAACAAACAATAAAAAAAAAAGACTATATATAGAAGTCTTTCTTTTTTTGTACCTCATCTTGCCAAACATTCAATAAATAATCATAAATTGCAATAAAAATTGATTCATGTTCGCCATTAGTACTATCAATTATTTCTTTAATACGTGCATCAAGGCGAGTCTAAAATAGTAAATAACAATTTCCATATGTTTTGATTTTTGTTTTCGGTTAAAAAGACGAAGTGAAAAATAAAAACTTGTTAGTGTAGAAAAAAAAAATTATTACTTTAACGGATGTCACGTATAAATCTTCTAATTGTTGTGCACGATCCATCGATTGAAATACTTGTGCAAATGATCGAGCCATTTCTATAGATAATTTTTATAAACGATACTGAACATTATTTTTCTGGAAGATTTTATTTTAAGTATAACTTTCCCATAAAATTACCTTTCGAAATATGGTTTATATCGAAAGTATGGTCAGTATTTATGGTGATCATGACTGACGAGGAAACGTCTTAAAATGCCCTATTCTAATTTCAACGGCTTTTTTCTGCTTATAGATACTGCGTAGTGTTCTAATAAAAATTCTAAAAGGATTTACGTTCCTATTGACATTTCACTAAGGTATCGAATTTTTAATATATCTATTTTCTAGATGTCCTAGGTTTTCAGAAAACTCGTATATTCGAATTGTGATCTGAAGCTTGATGCATCTAGAGACCTTGACTAGGCTAGTTTCCGTAAAAAAAATTTATAAGTTTTGAACAAAATCTCTCAGAGATATGGAACTTTTAAGATAAAAGCCCTTTTCCATAGATAGTGTATAGAACATGAACTTTTCAAAAGCTTCATATCTCGAAGAGACTTTGTTCTAAACTTATGAATTTTTTTTATAGAAACTAGTCTAGTTGAGCTCTCTCTATGTACCAAGTTTCAGATCAAAACTTGAAAATACGAGTTTTTCCAAAAACATGGAGTCTCTAGAAAATAGACATATTAAAAATTCGATAGATCAATCAAATCTCAATAGGAATGCAAATTCTTTTAGTATTTTACTAGAACACTATGTAATATCTATAAGCAAAAGAATCATTGAAATTGGACGGGGGGGGGGGGGGGGGGGCGCTGAAAGAGGATCCCTCATGAGTGGTCACGCTATTCGACGCGTATACAATAAATACTGTGCTTGAACCACGATATGTCTAGCAATGAAATGATCCTGGATAAGTTACTAAGGGCTCTTTGTTTCAGATCACCCGTCTAATAGTATGCTGACTAAATTGTGACATACACCTGCCATTGTGACTAGTATGTGATTAGTAAATGTGTATGAGAATCTGAAGCAATAGAGTCCAAGAATTCTACATCCGACCAGCCTTCTGTTCAGAATTACAGCTAGTATTAACTGTAAGGAAGATATCAGGCTAATGAACCTGCCACTAAGCAACACTCTAGCCGAAAGGTAGGGTTATTCTTCCTTTCCAATATTTATACTAGGTCCACAGAAAATTTCATCCCTAAATGTTAAGTATTATTGAACAATCTTTTAGACTGAGTTTTTATTTTCTTTCACACATTGTTCAAAAGACCTGAAACCATATAAATAGAAAGAACAAAACACAAACTAATACTTTGATAACTAAAGCTTTCTAAAAACAAAATGTTCATGAAGTGAAACGTTTATTTTATGATAGATTTCATATGAACTCTTTATCGTTTTTATATAATGAATAATTTTTCCTTCCAAATATCATATTTGAAAGAGTGTCTTACGTTGCAAATTTTTCAGAAAATGATCTCTCAAAATCGAAAAGCACTTTTCAAAAAACTTTAAATCATCTGCTATCTTATACAGCGTCAGTCACTCTCTTGAATATGATATTTAAAAAAGACAAATTAAAAATTATATAAAAATGATAAAAAGTTCACATGAGATCTATCATAAAACAAGTATTTCGCTTCATAAACATTTTGCTTTTAGAGAATAATAACTCAATTTAAAAGATTTTTCAATAAAAGCAAACTACTTCAGATTGTTATATATCAAAGGTCAACTTTATAAGAAAGTTATACTTAAAATAAAATCGTCCAAAAAAAAAATATTTGTCTAATATTATAAAATAAATAAAAATCTAAATAATAATCATATATATATATATGTATATTCATACCAACATCTTGCGTATTAAAAGCAACCACCACTGCTGGACTTATCAAAGCTTCAAGACGATTTTTTAATAGTTCTAATCGATTAACACGATCAGCATAATCAGGAACATCGGTAAGAATTTTTAATGATTGTTGCATAGCTATTAATTTTGTTGCTATCTAAATTAGAATAAACAAAACGAATAAAATTTAATATTTAAATAATTATTCCAAGTAGATGTGAACCCTTCAATCTTAGGAAAATTTTCAATCTTCTCCAGCATTTTCTTGTTTTCTTTTTCGTTCATTAATTCCCAAAAACAAAAAAACAAACACTCAAACTCGACCTCGAAATTCGGTTAACTCTAATAAAAATCTTCTAATCAACTTCAAGTTAGATATTGATTTCATACTTGTACAGTATCTTTCGATTCAAATGTATCTTCAATTTGAGCTGATAATGTAACCCAATTATCTGCTTCTTGTAATGCTTTCGATGCTGATTGAATACGATTTTTAACTGAATCTAATTGGATTAAATTTCGCATTCCATCAGCTGTATCTTGATTCACTTTTTGAATATCACCTCGTACTGTACGCATTTGTTCTTGTAATAAAGTTGCTTCATGTCTAAGAACATCAATTTCACGAAGAACTCTACGATAAAAATTTAAAAAAAAAAGAAACAGATTTATTTTTTGTCAATGAAATGAAGTACAATTTGTAAATATTAACCGAGGAAATTGTTGAACAGCTTGTTGACTTGTTTCTTCAATAGAATTATTCATTTCTTGAATATACATTTGTAATTTTGTTATTAATGTTCCTGTATAATTATCGATATTTTGATTCGATTCTTTTTGTAATCGAAATGCTTGATTAAGCCAGTCGATAACATTAAATTCATCATCGAAAAATTTCGAAAAATCCTAAAAACACAAAATTTGGTTTTTTTATATGATATGAAAAACTATGAAGTATTGTAAAACTTACCATACACAAAAAGAATTAATTTTAAAAAAAAAGTTTAGACAAAAATGACACGATTCAATTTTATATTATAAAGAACAGAACAGAACAGAATATTAATATTTTTAGTGGAGATTTATCTAACCAATCAGATGATCAAATATTCTGAAATATGGAGGACAATGACATTCAACATAGTCCCGCATAATCAGTCTAATTTAAAGTATCATATAAAAATAAATTAGATTTTTCAAGTAACTTCATCTGCATCTCTTTATGAGTGAATTATAGGCAAAATTCTTGAAATACAATCAGACTCATGATGTTAAGAAAATGTTCTATTGCGAAATTTAAATTACTCACGGAAATTAATCCGACAGTCGAATCTTATCAGATCCTATACGAATTATATAAAATCAGGTAGAATCCTGTAGGAACATTATCGGAAACCGCATAAAGTAATCACATGCAAATCCCTAGTGTTGAAATTTAGTACTAGTTAAATAAAGAGTAATTTAATGAATGAAGACTAAAAAAAATGAGTTCTAAGCTTCGACTTTACACGCCGAGCTTACTTTTTCAGACCATCTCTCTATAACTTATTCCTGACTTGTAAATGACATGATATTTCTGTATATAGATGTGGCTCTTCATGAATATCTCATTCGCGAACGTCTCTCTAATTCAACCACATCCATGACTTCTTCGCCTGGATAGATGTGAACTCCGTACTTTTAGAAACAAAATAAAGATCTTGAAGTTTCGAAAAACATTACAGTTCGAATATCGGATTTCACCATTGAACATATACCGGACTCGTAACGTCGAATCAATTGATGATTTCATCACACGAATTTTGTCGAATGATCGGATCCGGAGAGATCCGATAGGATTTATTTACCTGAGTTACTCATCACCAGAAATTTTCTCTTTATTTTTCTATTAGTAATGTTTGCAGAAGATCTTTAACATTGTATTTTTGTTTTTGGTAAACGAAAGTAGTCTAAATTTTTGCTCCATCTAATCATTCGCTACCATTGAAGAAATCAATTATTGAAAATTCCTACATATTATAGTTTGTAGTTGTAATCTTAACTTTTCAAAATTCTTATATCTATTTCATTTCGAAAACAACATGAAGATAAAGGTTGGACAAAATAGCGGTCACTTATCAAGTCGCTTCTTGTTATATGTGCACGCTGATGACTAATCATAACACATACATTGTATCATATGATAAGTGCTCAATCAAACATACGCACTTAGTCATCAAGGTATTTATCATTATTTTTACTATTCTTTTTTTCTTCGTGTTTGTAACAATAAGAGAAGGACAAAGTTAACTGATTGAGTGAACCCATGCGTGCTATTCTTTTTTTGGAGTGTAATGAAAGAAAAATGCGATATAAATTTAGTATTATATTAAGATCTGAAATTTTCAACTTTTATTTTACATACAGTGATCGCATCGGGAGAGATGACAACATTAATGAAACTTTAGAGAAAAAAATATAGACAAAAAAAACGAACAATAAAACAATCATGGACAAGAACTTAATCTTATTATAATTTTAATTATAACCAACTATTGATACAATCATAATAGTAAAAGACAAAAATGTTAGATGTAATATAAAACAAAATTTCTATTGGATATTTCTTATTTATATTCAAACATTTATTTTCATTTTTCTTAGGCTCAATGACTTTCATTATAGAAGTTATTCTATTCCAAAGAAATCTGCATGTAACCATATATTATGAAAATTATAATGTAATTTCACTTTCCATTTGTAAATGAACATTGATTTAACAGTTGTTAAAAATATAATCATCATACTAATAAATTCAATAGTTTTTTTTAGGTTAAGAAAAAAAAACAACTTTGCTGAGCTTCAGCTAATACAGAGTTCGGTAAGTTTTACTATTCATTTCATTACGGCAACTTTGTGCAACAATAAATATTAATTGTATTAAAAAGAGCATGATCTATACAGCATCATTATTTGTGTTTAGTAATAGAGGTAGAGCATACATACAAACTGCTATGAAACATCAGTATTTGTACTTAAGATGAGTTTGTTTTTTTTTTTTAAAAATGCAAAAATTTAACGAACCAGAAGAAAAATTTGCTTTTATAAATTAAATTATAAAGAAAATTTCATTTGTTACTGTAAAATTAATTGTAAAATTAAAAAAACATTAATCTATATCGTTGCAGTTATTTTTAGTTTGTCATAAACAATACTCAGATATATTTATACACAGTACATTTGCGTCGCATATATCCACAATGAATCAGTAACATTTTATTCAACCTGAATAATTCGTAAAAATATGAAGCAAGAGAGTCATGTAGCAAGAACAAAATTATGGTTCGCCATATTATCTCCAACATATCTGAATAATAGATATTGGTATAAATGCGTGTGGTGCAGTAATATACTTCTCTTTTATCCTTTCATTCGGTTACGGTTATTAGTTTTTTGCTTGTACTTTCATATATATCTATATATATACGTCATTTACATTTATTCTTGCTATTATAAATAGAAAGACAAACTTAACCATTTTTCTATACCTACCTGTTTGATGTCAACAAATCACGATCAAGTGACGACGACAACAACAACAACAACAACAACAATAACTGTTCGTTTTTATGATTCGACATTTTACTCAATTGCTTTAACTTCAATAATTTATTTAGCGGTCATCCATAGAGGACGTCAAGATAAAAGGAGAAAGGAAGTTAAATAGTCTTGAACATTCACACACTTAATATGAATATTTTTATTTTTTTCTTTCACGCAATTTTCGGCGAAATTTTAAAGCTTACGAGGGAGTCTTTCCAGATGCCAGATCGCTTTTCGACTGAAATGATGTTCATTTGATGAGTGTTAGAGAATAATTGAGAAGTCTAGAATGGTTTGGTTTTCCGAACTTTCATTCTTGAGATATCAAAATTTTACTCAGTTTCTCAACAAAAAACCGTGGTCCTCTCCTCAGGTCACGTGAAAAACCAACATTCAAGTTTCGAATTCAAACTTTGTATCAACAATAGTCTAAATGAGATTAGTATATTGCACAACTTTTAGCTTTTCTAGTATTACCTTTCTGGACTTGTAAAGATATGAACAAAAGTTGCTTTTACACATAAGAGAATTTCAAATAATGAATATCTCGGGATAGAAAATACTAAAGAAGTTACAACTTGCTCAATGAAGTAATCTTATTGAGAAATTTGTTCATACAAAGTTTGAATTCAAAACTTGAATGTTGATTTCCTAATTGACCTGAGGAAGATCACAACTCTTTGTTGAAAACCAGAGTAAAACTTTGATATCTCAAGAACAAAGGCATGGAAAGCCGAACCATTCTAACCATTTCTATTACTCACTAGCACTCATCAAATGAACATCGTCTCGATCGAAAAGCAATTTTGACACCTGAAAAGCTTCCCTCCTTAGTTTGTTTTGAACAACATTTTAAAATAGGAAACGAATCATTTGAATATGAGTATGGTGTTGAAATAATTTAGAATTGTGCTACATGAGCAGATAGTTATTTTGTGAAGTAGTTACATGAGATTTTCGAATGCCATTGGTATTGAGCTTCATTTTCTTATTTTTGATGATTTTGTGCTCATTAAAATATAATGTATATTTAAGAAACAAAAATTTTGCAATAGACTCGATTTTTGTTTGTTAGTTATAGTATGTATGTTTTTATTTTTAGTTTTCATATGTTTATTTAATGAATCATTATTTAATAAAAACGAAGCAATACATTTATACAAGCAGAGTTTTTCTAGAAAGCTTTTTATACTGGACGTTTAGGAGTGAGAGGATCAAAAAATGTAATTTTTATCTGAACGGTCTTTATGAATGATCCCCTAATATTTCAATTATATTCAATAAATCCACATAAATATCGTCTTGTTTTATTGATATCATTTTTATGTACATGTCTTAGTTGTGAAATATTCTATCATATATTTCAATCAAATTCATTAATAAATTTATCTAATTTAAATATAATAAATTATTTTTCACCAATAACTATTCATTTAATATTATTATTATCAATATCATCATTTTTATGGAATGCAACACAATGTGTTGCACTAGCATCAATATTTCTTTCATCAAATCTAGCTAATCAACAACAACAACAATCTCCTAATGTGATATTACGTCGTTGGATTCGACATATTTGTGTTGATCATGTTTTTGCTCTATTAATTGTTCGTTTAAGTCGTTTAAGTGATATTATAACTATTATTACATTAAGTAACATGGCAAGTATTTATATTATTGCAAGTTGGTGTTCACAAATAGCTGTTTTTCCATGTGTACTTTGTTTTCTTCATTCATTTTTTATAAATACAACTGCATCCAATGAAGAAAATTCTCAAAAAATATATTCAACATCAAATACTGATGAATTTAATTCGATATTACATCGTTTTAAAATTATTAAAATGTTAGGTTTAGCTTTATTTGGTTTAAAAATTTCAGCATTATCTGTTTGTGAAATATTAGCATTAGGATTAGTACTTACAATTTGTTTATTATCTCTTGTTGTTGCACCATCTGAACGTGAAACATCAAGATATACAAAAATATTTGATATATTTATTGGAAAAATATTTGATGAAAATAAAGATAAGACATTAATCATTGAGCAACAATTATCAATTGTACAAAAATCTGTTATATCAAAAACTGACGGTAGAAGAATAATTTTTATACGGTTCTTATGTTAATAGTTTCTAATTCTAGATTCTTCTTTATTTACAACTCATAATCCTATTCATCAACAAGAAACAATTCGATCAAGTTGTTTGACTTCATCATCATTATTATTATCAACAGTCGAATCTCAAACATCCAATACAACATCGATTATTAATTATTCTCTTTTAACTGATGAACAAATTTTATCACTAATTAAAACAAAAAAATTAACTGTATATAATCTTGAAAAATATTTACCATCATTAAAAGCAGTATATATACGTCGTTTAATATTAAATGAACAAATAATTTCAACAAAAAATTTATCATTTTCACTTGATTTATTACCTTATGAACATTATGACTATTCATTAGTTATAAATCAATGTTGTGAAAATGTTATTGGATATGTTCAACTACCAGTTGGATATGCTGGTCCATTACATGTTGATAATAAATATTTTTATATACCGATGGCTACTACGGAAGGTAGAAAAGATTATTTTCTTATTATTTGAAAAGTTTTTTATAAGAATAAAATTATCAAGCTAATGTACTGAAGAAGAAGAATCCCCTGCCTTTCGACTATCTTGCGGTATAGGGTGTAGTCCGGAGACAATTTTGAAAGCCCGATATTTTTTCCTACTACTATTACTAGCTGTAGCTCTGGACAGAAGGCCGATCTGACTCAGAGTTATTCCGCTCATTGAGCTCTCCATACACGTTGACTAACCACATACTAGTCACAAGCACCGGTGTACATCACAACGTAGTCAATATGCTAACGGACAGGTGATCCGAGAAAAACAATCTTTAGTGACTTGTCCAAGGTCACTCTATGTCTAATAGCGCCGAGCTTCGAATACAGTACCTTAGTGGTACGTGTCGAACAACTTAACCACTCAGCCATAGCGGTCAGCTAATGTACTGATAAAGAAACTGATCAATCGCTTTTTTTTCACTAAAACTATTAGGTTATTGGTCATGCTGATTCCGAATATGAACACGAGAATCTCCTTTAGGTCTTCATATACTGGTTTTCTGATACTGACAAAATTTTCATCAAACATTTTTTTTATTTCTCTAGATTATAGAGCACATCGAATTACCTAGAAAACATTAATTTTTTCTCTTTCAAATCGTCTAGTTTATTGAAGAAAATACAGACGTTTTAATTTATACTCGAGATACATTGCAACGTGAAAATTCTTAAGATGATACCGTTTTACTTAAAGCACATTTTTGAAAAATAGTAAAGGTTATAGTTTTATAGACAACTCGATATGTTCTATAATCTGACTAGATTTCAAACTATTTTGACACAATACTTGTTACTCTGGAAAACCAGCATATGAAGATCTATAAGGATTTCTCACGTTCATACTCGGAATTCTATAACCTACGATCAAGTATATTTTAGTAAGAAAGCGATCGATCCGTTGTAACAATTCACTTATAAGTCATATTTCAAACAACCAGACAATGAACACTAAATATATCCGCATAGTCTAACATAATAAATATCTCATGAAATAATTTCGATAGAAAAACAAAATATTTCTTGCTTGCTTTTACTTTTTATTGCTTCTAAAATTTAATTAATTGATCTAATCATATTGTTTATATGAATAAACATGGAAATATATTCATCTTCTTTAGGTGCACTTGTTGCTAGTACAAATCGTGGGTGTAAAGCTGTATCAATGTCAAAAGCAGGTATTAACACAATTGTTTTTAATGATGGTATGACACGTGGTCCTGTACTTAAATTTGTAACAATTCGACAAGCCTATGATGCTTATCAATGGTTTGAAACAAATTTCAATGAAATAAAACAATGTTTTAATCAAACAAGTTCATATGCACGTTTAACAAGTATTAAACGAAATTTAGCTGCACATTATTTATTTATTCGTTTTGTTGCAACAACTGGTGATGCTATGGGTATGAATATGTTATCAAAAGGTGTTGAATCTGTATTACAACTTATTAAATCAAAATGGCCTGAAACAGTTGATATAATTAGTATTAGTGGAAATTATTGTATTGGTAATTAAAATTTTCATTTAGACTATCTTTTATGAAATACGATCTAAACAGTGTGTTGAAGTATAAGAGTAAAAATTTGGACCCTATCCTCAACAGACCGTGACAGATCCATGTTAGAGATCAAAGGTAGGACAAATACAAGTATTTTACTTGTACATTAAAAAATGTACTTATACTCTAACTTGTCTTTTCACAAATATACTTCCCCCTGTACTTGTGCTTAAGTATAAAAATCTCTTTTGTAACTGTACTTAAGTGCGAAAAAAGTACTTGGTATTTTTAAGTGATGTATCAATATTATAAACTTCATCTTTAAAGTTGACTAACTCTAATACGTTTTTTAAGATCATCGTGACATCATATGATCGAAAAGTAAATGATAATAAGAATATTTTAATGGACTCTTTCTTCTTATATACTGACAAATTTACTGCAAGACACTTGTAAAATCATCTATTTTCATTGTTCGAATTTTTTTTCAAAATTATGATGGATATCTATAAATGATGACGCTCATTCGGCTAACTATTATAGATTAAATGTAGTTCTCGATGATACTAAGAAGAATCGATGTGAATACAGATCCCTGCTCTACAAAATGAGGACAGGTTATTGGTTTGCTGCGTTTTCGAATCGTCGATAGGATTTTTTTAAATATTGACTGGAAGAATTTTAGTATGGAATGTTGATAAAAGATTTCTTGAATATATCTTAGACCTCGCTAAAGGTTTAGATTAAAGTCAGTAATTCTTTCTAACAATATTGAACTTCAAATAAATGCACTTTATCAGATCTATTCCAATATGTGATTAATAATTAAAAACATTTAATATGTTTAAGATGATCATCTGCTTTAACAGAAATGTATAGAATCATCTGAAAGTCATCCGATCGATCCAATGACTAATTATTTCTTACTGGAACATCTTTCATTCAACATGCAACACGTTAGACATAAAAATTGCTTTATATAAATTTTCAAAAATAAGCAGAAGTTTGAAATTTATTCTTATTTTTATAAAGTTCATGTATGTATTTAGCAGACGGTTAAATAACTTAATCGAATAAGCTTTAATATTTGAAATGTCTTTCGTTGACGACAATAGTGAAGCGTTCAGACAGATACTCCAAATATGTAAAAAGACATTGTTTCGTATTACAAGTAAAAGTAAAAATTACAAGTTTTTATACTTAAGAATAAGTACGAAAGTATAAATACTTTCATCCGAGCTCTACTAGAGGTTATCACGAGTAGTCCGCGATTCGGTCCCATTTGAGAATTTCTTAGTGCAGCCTTAATACTATCGATTACAATGATTCATAATTGTATTTAATATAGAAGAGAATAACTTTTATAATACAGAATAACAAGATAAATACAAAAGTTATCAACATTTATAATGGACAAACACGTTACTTATATAATGAAAAAGTTACGTTGTTTTTACGAATTTTGTTGTATTGAATTTCTAATCGTAAATCTTGATAGCTAAGTACAAGAGCATTACGACGTGTAGTTGTAAATTGTATGTAACATGTTGTTCGCTTTCCGTATTCAATATATGTATCTTAACAATGATTGCTGACACGTTATTTAGTTTAAATTGAATTATTATATAAATTCTACTCAACTGATGGTCATTCGAGGGTCAATTCTTTAAATGACTACTCATGAATGTACTGAGAAATCATCAAATGGAACCGAATTGAGGGCAAAATCAATCATCACAGGTCGTGACAGAAGTTGATATAAGATCAGAGATCATATATAAATAATATCTTACTATAATATATGAACAATTTCCTTATTGCCTTTCTGGAGGATTAAATAGCAGGATGGTGAAGAAACGTGTCTTAAAATAGATAGAATAAAGTAATCTCTCTGTGATTAGCAATCGTAGCTATATCGTGTTTCATATTTTAATCATGTAAACATTCCACTAACATCCTTGTTCTTTTTTTTTGTTTTAATTAAAGATAAAAAACCGTCAGCTATAAACTGGATTGATGGACGAGGAAAATCAGTTGTAGCCGAAGCTATTATATCACATGATATACTTGAACAAGTACTTAAAACAAATGCTGATCAACTTGTTGAATTAAATCAATCGAAAAATTTACTTGGATCAATAATGGCTGGATCAATTGGTGGATTCAATGCGCATGCTGCGAATATAGTTGCTGTAAATTGTTTTTTTTTCTAATTAATCAAATCACATCTTTTCTTTCTTTTATTAGGCAATGTTTATTGCCTGTGGTCAAGATGCAGCACAAATTGTATCCAGTAGTAATTGTAAGAGTTTAATCATTGATTTTAAAAATTTCATTCGTAAAATTATTTTAGGTTTAACATGGCTTGAAACGACTGGAATTGATAAACGTGATTTATATATATCTTGTACAATGTATTCACTTGAAGTTGGTACTATTGGTGGTGGAACAAAATTATCAGCTCAACAAGCTTGCTTAAAAATGCTTGGTATTGATAATTCTCTAGCAAATATATCTGGTGAAAATTCTTGTCAACTTGCTCGTCTTATATGTTCCACAGTATTAGCAAGTGAATTATCATTATTAAGTGCATTAGCAACTAGTGATCTTGTTCAATCTCATTTACGACTTAATCGTAGTACAACATCTTTCAATCAAATTCGATAGTATATTCTTTTTTTTGTCAATAAAAAAAATAAAAACCGAAAGAAAAAGATGAAACAATATTCATTAATTAATATAGAGCATTTTATATGGTATATCGATCCTACAGAAAAAAGAAGATGTTATAATAAATAGAAAATTGATAACAGAGAACGTCACAGGACGATTTTCTTCGTCCTGCTGTGCATTCTGCAGAACATCTTCATTCATTCATCCTGTTTTGCAGAACGTTGAATAGGACAAAGAATTCTTCTGCATCCGGCTTGCAGGACGACCTTTTCATTGCTTTTTTGACAAGAATATTAAACTTGTCTGTATATGAAGTACAATGTCAAATATCATAGGCCCTCTGTTGATACAGAAATCATGCTAATAAATGTTATCACATATTTTCTAATAGAAATGAAATGAACAATAAACAAAAGATACTTGACATCCATAAGATGCTCAAAACAATAATAAAACAAACATAAAGATACAAGATTCCAAATGTAATCAATGTAAACAGACGAACAACGAGAAAGGATAAGTATTCTTTGTATTGCTTTTTCCTGAATATCTCATACGACCGAATAAATAATCTTGTCAATTAGACTTAGTGGTAAATGTCAATCTAGTTGAGCTAAATAATCTTTCTACCAAAGCACTAGTCGTCGGTACAGCATGTACTCTTCTGGTTACTATTAATAATAATGGAAAATCATGATGAGTTTCACTACTAAATCAGAACTCCATTGGATCATGATTAATTAGATGACCTTGATATCCTACGGGACTCAAAGACTATCCTTCAGATTCTGCAGAACATGCGTCCTGTGATGTTCTCTGATTGATAACTTACAAAATTGAAATTGCTTCAAAGTTTTTATTGAAAAATTTTAATGATTGTTGTTCGCTATTAGTCGATGTTGGTTTGGTGAAATGCTCTATCAATGGTTTTTGTATATATTTCATAGGTAAACAACTAAGTGTTTGTTGACATTTCATTGGTTTAGTATCACATTGAATTGTTAAATTCGTTTGATGAGCAATTAATCGAACACATATATAATTTGTTGTGATTGTATGATTAATATTATTTGAATTTAATTGATGATGATATGTTAATTGACGAACAGTAATAATCGATGTATTTGGTTCAAGTATTAACATAGATTGTAGTTTATCTTCTTTTCGTATTGTATGAAGACTTTTTGTTTGATGAAGAACATGTGAAAATGAAGTTTGATATTTTTTATAAATATCATTTGTATTATCAAATAATTCAGAATGATTTTGTTGATTTAAAATTGATGAGTTTTCATCAGATGATTTTGATATTAATGATTGATTTGATGATGTAGACGATAGAATATCATCATTAGATGAGTCACATAGAGATAATGTTAATTGACAAGATGGACAAGACTGTAGATTTAAATATAATGGGTCTTTATTTTTTATTTTTATTTTTTCATGGATAAGACTAACCGGATAGAATGCTATTGGATTTGTATAATTAAAATGAGGATTATATGATGGGAAAATATTAACTTGATTATGATGATCAATAGAAGTTGGTTGACATGATGAAAATAAAGGATTTGTTTGATATTGATTGGCAGAATCATGATGTATTTTATATCCATGAATGTTTGTATTATTTATAGATTTTATTGAAATTGAATTAGACGATTGAAATGAATTTAATTTCGATAATTCAAATTGTTTTGTAACTGACAAGTCTATTGAATTGAATATTTGTGATGATTGACTTGTAGAAGATTCATTAATTGATTTGACTAATGGAGAAGTTTGTTTTTGTTTTTCTATGGATTTTATCATTGAATTATTTAAACCTTTAGATAATCTTTTTAAAATATATTCTTTTAATAAATTACGTTTTGATGAACTTATTTGTAATCTATCAGAATGATTTTGATTTTGATCATGTAATGATTTTTTAATTTGTTTCTTTTCATCGATCATTGATAGATCTTCATCATCTTTAGCATCATTAAAATAAACTATTGGTTGTTGTTGTTGTTGTTGTTGTAATAAACAATGATTATTATTATTATTCATATTTTGATGTTGACTAACAATAAGAAAAAGTAATGCTCGACGAAAATATAACATTAATGCTTGACTTGTCCAAACACGAAATGTTGGTGATTGTCGAATAAGTAACATAACTCAATTGAATTATATATTCAAATTATTATCGTAGTTATTCGATTAAGAAAAATATACAAATGAAAAATTTCTTTTTTTTTTCTATCTATTAATTTTGTCTAGGTAACTATTCATATTGAAATTTATTCAACTTTTTGTAAATAATAAAAGAAAAACAGAATATTATTAGGAACAATTAACTATTTATAGAATAAGTTTGCAGGGATCGGCTAGTTCGAGTTATTCACTGAAAAAAGGGAAAATTTGATAATTCAACACCAAAATTAGTTTCAGAAGAAATTAATAGTTTTCTGCAGAAAAAAAATTTTATAAATATTTTGTGAAACACAATCTGAAAAAAAGTGTCGAAGTATATATGGTAGAAATTTGGACCCACTTCTCCACACAAATTATGGCAGACACCTTGAGAACCCAATAAAGATTATGACAGACACCTTGAAGTCTCATCATAGATCATCTATAAATAACGTCCCGTTATAGTATATAAACTACTTCCCTATTGTATTTCTAGAGGATTAAGTAGATGGATGGTGTAGGAATGTATCCCAAAATAGATAGAATACAACAATCTTCCTATGATTAGCAACCACAGCTGCATCGTGTTTCATATATTAATCCCACAGCGATTGCACTAATAGCTTTTTGCTTGTAAAGAACTTTAAATTTCGGTTTTTGTTTAAAACAAAAACAGATGTTTCACTATCTTGTTGAACTGTATGAAAGAGTAGAATTGAGTTTTCTACAGTAAAATCTCTACTAGTGAACATCTAGTTATGAACAATTTCAGATCTGACGGAGCGATTTTTACTGGGAATGTCTCTTTCTGATGTGAACACCTTCCTATTCCGAACAGTGAACATTTTTTTTTTGCCATTCCTTTTCCTATTATAATTTCTTTGAAGTGAACGCATGTACAACGATTTTTTAAACTTCTTTCTACTGGCTATTACCTGTTTTTTATGTACTGCGAGTATGTAGATTTTATGTATGAGAATTATTGATTTACATAAAGATATACCTACGTTTAATAAATATGAACGTTTTATAATATTGAATACTAACGAATAAGATGATGAGACTGATGATGATCGTGTGTCAACCTTTTATGTAAAACCAATGTAGAAGCAAATATCCTGAAATCTTTTTTTCATTTTGCAGCAAACAATGCATCAACACTCTAAACTGAACACTTTCGTATAGGGAATGCTTTTAAATAATGCTGATAGTGTTGACAATAGAGAGGTTTTACTATACTGTTACTTTATTGATAAGACTATTGTAGTTATGTCATTTTATTTTATGTAAGATTATTCTTATATTGTTTTTCTTTGTACATAAAAACTAGAAATAAGATATAGTGATATGATAAACTTGCTGTTAACATTCTCTATAAAAAATAAACAGAAAAGAAATATAAATGGAAAAAATAACTCGACTGATTCAATCGTGTAAGTTTGATTATTATCAACAATAAAACTTCTAATCATGTGTATTATTATGATCAAATGATGCTATAAGTTTAAAATTTTGAATCATCAGTTTTCTTTTGTATTTATTATAAATAAATTATTTCTTAGAAAAAAAACCTTTAAGAATATAATGAATTATTAGGATTTTTTGATTTTCTTTAATGTATTTTTTCTTCACATCTATATTTTTCATCAATATTATTAACATGAAATTAAATTATTACATTATCTATATCAATTAATGTTCGATATTTGGTTTTCTGTTATAGTGACATAAATATTCTGTTGAGTTAATGCATTAGTTACTGCTGATCTGTCAACACTGATTGCCTATTGATTTAGAATAATAATCAAAGACATATTATATTTGAGTATAAAATATCTAATTTACTATTCATAACAAGGATACAAAATTGTATATTTTTATGTAAGAAAATAAACAACAAGAATCTGAGTGCATTTATTTAGCACCAATATATACCGCATTACAAGCTATTCGATCGTAATCTTTTGTTTTCTTTGTATTGTTGATCAATGAATTAATCTTTTTATGTATCAATAATATATGTTTGAAACAAAAAGATTCTAAGATTTTTTAATTACAAAATTTTTGTCACTAGACAAATGTGTTTAGAAGAAACTAAATATGCACTTTGATCAAGAATAAATATGATAGTGTAGTATCCTTGAACGTTGTTATTTCTTTTCTTGGATATTATTATGGCTTTTCCTTACATGTAGTTTCATCTATTTGAAGATATATCAATGCTTCTCTATTCTTTTTCTTCTTATCCTTTTGCTACATGTCGATAGTAATGTGGAACAGTAGTATTATTTTCCCAAAATGAAGAATACAATCAATACATGTATAATCGTTCCTATTCCATATGTTATTCTCTACGTCTGAAAATATCTGGAATACTACTGGTACAAATATATAAAATAAGAAAGAAAGCGGGTACTATCTATATGTATATTTTTTTTTTGCTGTCGACCGCCCGTTGTCATAACGATATGTGTATTACCCGATTTGGTATCGACTGATGTGTATATCTAAGGAAATAGCAAAAAAGTAAAGAAGAATACAGGAAAGAGGAAAAAAAGACTATTTCGGTCTATGTGTATATAGTCAAGAAGATATTGCGGGTGTCGTTCTTTTTACGGACAAGCTCAGTAGAGGAGACATATACACATCCACATTATTTATTATCATCTTAACCGTTTTTTGTAAGAAATAATCATGTGTGACGAAGACGTTGCTGCAATTGTTATTGATAATGGATCAGGTAAAATATTTTTAAAAAAAAAAGCTAAAACTATATGTAAATTGATTGAAATAATAACTTTCTATTTCAAATAAATAGGTATGTGCAAAGCTGGCTTTGCCGGTGATGATGCTCCTCGATCAGTATTTCCATCTGTTGTTGGTCGACCACGTCATCAAGCTGTTATGGTTGGTATGGGTCAAAAAGATTCATATGTTGGTGATGAAGCTCAATCAAAACGTGGTATTTTAACACTTAAATATCCAATTGAACATGGTATTATTACAAATTGGGATGATATTGAAAAAATCTGGCATCATACCTTCTATAATGAACTTCGTGTTGCACCAGAAGAACACCCTGTTCTTCTTACTGAAGCTCCACTTAATCCAAAAGCTAATCGTGAAAAAATGACACAAATTATGTTTGAAACATTTAATTCACCAGGTAAATTCATTTTCTTTTTTTTTTTTAATACTTAAAATATCATAATTGAATTTTTATTATGTTTTGTCTAGCTATGTATGTTGCTATTCAAGCTGTACTTTCACTCTATGCTAGTGGTCGTACAACTGGTATTGTTCTTGATTCAGGTGATGGTGTTACACACGATGTACCCATCTATGAAGGTTATGCTTTACCACATGCTATTCTTCGTCTTGATTTGGCTGGCCGTGATTTAACTGATTATTTAATGAAAATTCTTACTGAACGTGGTTATTCATTTGTAACAACAGCTGAACGTGAAATTGTCCGAGATATAAAAGAAAAATTATGTTATGTTGCATTAGATTTTGAACAAGAAATGGCAACAGCTGCATCAACATCATCATTAGAAAAAAGTTATGAATTACCTGATGGTCAAGTTATTACCATTGGTAATGAACGTTTCCGTTGTCCAGAATCACTCTTTCAACCATCATTTTTGGTAAAATTTCTTTTTTGGTTTTGTATCATTTAGTTTTATTAATTATTCATGAATAATTATAGGGTATGGAAGTTGCTGGTATTCATGAAACAACATTTAATTCAATTATGAAATGCGATATTGATATTCGTAAAGATTTATATGCTAATACAGTCTTATCAGGAGGTAAAGAAAAGAGTCAATAAAATATTTATTTTGTTCTAATAAAGATAATTTTCAATTAGGTACTTCAATGTATCCTGGTATTGCTGATCGTATGCAAAAAGAAATAACAGCTTTAGCACCATCAACAATGAAAATCAAAATTATTGCACCACCTGAACGTAAATATTCCGTATGGATCGGTGGTTCAATTTTGGCTTCATTATCAACATTTCAACAAATGTGGATTTCAAAACAAGAATATGATGAAGCTGGTCCATCAATTGTTCATCGTAAATGTTTTTAAATGGATAATATCAATTAACATTATTAATCAATCAAACATACACATCTATGAAAAAATTTTTTATGATTCTTTTTTTACTATTAGAATTGCACGTAAATCATATATATCCTATTGTCCTATTTTAATGATGTACCATCCATCATTGTCAACCTTTTTTTTTTTATTTGATTTTATTTATCCGTTTAATTAATAATTTTGTGCAATTACAATAGCATACATGAACTTCTTTTTTTTTTCTAAATAAATTTTAATAATCTCCCTTTGATATGATGACAAATATTTAGTAATATCTTAATAGTATCAATATGTATCTGACAATGAAAAAACTATGTTTCATGATAATTTATTTGACATTCAATCCTTGTCTTATGACAAAAATATCAAGAAAATTTCGTCAATCAAGGAATTTTCTAATTCGAGTCTATGATCTATATTTGATTTAAGTTTTTTTTTTCAAATTATAAATCTTTTTCTAAATATTACACTCTATTTAGTTAAAACTGAATTTGAAATTAAGTTCTTTTTCTTTTGTCAAGGAAGTTCTATATATTAAAATGATGCTGCTAGAACAATTCATCGCATGACATGTTTGTCTTACAGTATCCAAAAGGAGTATCGACAGTGACTGGATGAAGGTGGGTCAAAGTTGTAACTGATCCGGTCTTGTGAATTCAAAAAATATTTTAGACCAGTGAAAACTGACCGATTTGTTGGATCATTACTAATCGATTAATGACCATGGCTTGAAAAAACATTCATTTTCCTTTTTGCATTCAAGTTTTAACAAATCTTCAGAAATCTCATGTTATAATTGTTTAGATCTGTTATGTTTCTCAAAGAAGAATATATGATATTTCTACATATAGCGTGAAGAAAAAAGAGACATTTCTCCGTAAACTGATTGCTAAGCTACATGTCTAGAATTTTCTCATTCAGCCTTTTCAGACAAGTCTAACGTTTCTCGTCAAACGAAAATCCAAACCTAAATTTGATCGTTATTAAAAAAGTTTAGTTCAAGTAACATAGTTTTGATTGTGCTTTTTAAAGAAAGCAATATACTTCGATTAAAAAAATAAAACAGTCTGGATGAACAGAAGAAAATATAACTAATAGTTCTTGAAACAATACTGTTTGATTCTTTTAATACGAGTAAACAAATTTGATTTCAACAAATTTTATCAGAGACAAATAACATATCTATAAAATATTTTTCAACAGTTCCAACCTGTCCGGATACAGCCAGTGGCGGAGCCAGAATCTTGAGTTAAGAGGAGGGAGCCAACCCTTCCTACGGACTGTTGAGTCCTCATGATGAGGTTTTTGCAAAAAAAATACACATTTCAAAAATCTCGCTAGAGGAGCGACCGAGAGTACATAAAAGATCTTCACTTACACCGATATCCACATCCACACACATTCACGACGAATTGCTCAATCACCAAAATGATATCAATTGTAGATGTTAAGCTTGGTGTAATATTTTATGAATAGATTGTACATGAATTAAATCATAATAAACCATATTTTTCTATTAAATTGTTTGTATCTGATAATAAAACTTTTATTCATTTGATTAGAGATGAATCTATATAGTCAACCTATAAAAATTGATACTTGCATTTTTCAAATAAAATTTTGTTTGTTGAAATAGAATTTAATTATTGAGAAATGAAAATATTTTGTAAAAACAAAACAAAGGAAGATAAACCTAAATTAAATAGTCAACACAAAAAAACATACCAATTACAATATATTGACACAATTATCAACGAAAATGACTCTCCTCTTATTGAATAGATTGATAAAAACTGAAAAAAATAGTATATATGCATACATAGATTTTAATTCTACGAAAGCTTTCGTTTCGTTTCAGTTATATTATGTTCATATAATTTTACATCAAAATGATCAATTGGTAATGTTACTGTAGCTATAGCAAGTGCTTCATAATGATATAATAATGCTTGTTCATAATGACCCATTTCATTAAAAACTCCACCTAAATTATTATATGTTCCAGCTATATCAGGATGTTTTGATGGTAATATACGTAATTGTAATTCTAAACAACGTTCAAATTCACGTTGTGCTGCACGATATTCACCTTTTTTTAAATATAATGTTCCAAGACCATCATGAACAAGTGCAATTGTTGGATGATTATTTGTTGATAAATGACGTTTATATAAATCAAGTGCTTGTTCATAATGTTTTAATGATAATAACCATTGTCGTCGATCACAATGTAAAAGACCAAGATAAGAATGTATCATAGCTGTATCAAATGGATGATTTTTAACAGATTCTAATGCTTTTTCAAAAAAAATTAATGCTGTACTATATTCTTTTCGTAATTGATGATAAAAACCAAAATTGATATATGATATTGATTCTGTTTCTTTTTTTAAATGAAATAATGCTTCTGGAAACATTCGTTGATAAATATAACAAAGTCCAATATTATTTTCTATTTTAGTTTGTTCATAATATTTTTGTGCTATATCAAATTGTCCTAAATTTCGATAAATTTCTCCAAGATGACTTGAAACTTCTTCACCTTGTTTAATAGCTAATTTAAAATATTCAATAGAAGTTAATATATCTCCCATATCTCTATAAACAAGTGCTATTTGTGCATATGTACGATCAATATCATCATTAAATAAAGAACTTATTTGATTTTTTTCTTTATAAATTGCTAATGCTTGTTGATGATAATTTAATGCTGATGTATATTGACATTTAAAACGAAATATAGCTCCAACATAATTACAAATAAGAGCTGTTTCATTATCATGATTTGGTAAATTTTTAATAAGTAAACGATAAAATCTATCAGCTTTAGTTGATTGTTTTATTTTATCCCAAATAAAACCAATAGATAAATATGGATGTGGAATAAAATCAATTTCATTCATTAATATATCTATTTGTTCTTTAATATCAGTTTTTATCATTTGATTTAAATGTATATGCCATATGCCATCAATTTCCATTCCAATATGCTGTATACGAAATAATGTACCAATTGATAAAAGAACTTTATTATTTGATATTGATTTATATGAATGATTTATTGAAAAATGATATAAAACAGTTTCAAGTGTATTTGATGTTAATGAAACTTCATTAACAGCTTCTTCAATAGTTTTACAAAGATCAAGATAACGATTTATTGATATAATACTATTTAAATTCATACGTAAACGATATAAATCATCAGCATTTATATTTTGTGCACGATAATATATTTCCTTTTGTTGTGTATCTAAAGATATTGTTGTATTTTCATTTATTAAATGTTGTATATCATAAAAGATAAAACTATAATCAAGTAAAAGTGCAAGATTTTGTGTTCGACTAGCTTTATGTAAAAGGCGTGAAAGAAATTTTGTTCGTAAATACCAATCAATAGCTGATTGTGAATCATAATGTTGTTGAAAATGATGAATTTCATCTATACGTTTTTGATTATCACGATAATAATAAAGACACGAACGAAATATTCGTTGTCTTTCTTGAATATTTATAGATGACGATGATAATGATAAACGAGAAAGAATATTTTGAAAAAATAAATGAAATATAAGAAATGAACTTGCTTGTTTTAAATTCAAATTTTTTGTTTGTAAATTTAAATATGTTGCAGGAATTGAATCATGATCACATATATCATTAACATCTTTTGTTAATTGTGCAAAACAATCTGTTGAACATGAATAAACACCTGTTATTAATGGTTCATTATTTTTAGCCCAAGTTTCTAATTGTATTCGTTTTATTGAATTAAGACTTGAATCACAATAAACATAGATAGATGATAGAGAACGAAGTTCAGATTTAATTGAACAGATGAAATGAATATATTCACTGTAGAAAAAAAGAAAAAAGAAATTAATAATCTAATAAAATTAAATAAACAAATCTTACTGTGAAACAATAAGAAAAATTTTATCATTAACAACCATTTTCATAAAATTAACACAATTATTAGGGTTATCAAATATTTTTAAATTATTTATTATTTCTCGAGCACGATTTAATTCTTCATTCCAATCATCAGTATATTTAATAGCTGAATCAAGCCAAACAAGAATACATTCTTCAAAATCATCTTGATGTTCAGTGATTGATTTTGATCTTGTTGTTTTAGTTAAATTTTTTAATTCTAAACTTTCATTAGTATGTTGTTTACTCAATGTCGAACCCATGTTTAATGTGTATTTTACATAGACGAAAAAAAAAAGGCGAACTCAAATAAATAATATTTGTTATCTACCTGAAATTTTATTAACTTATATAAAGCATGAATATACACACTCAAACTCTAGTTATTATATTCTTTTTGTGACCTTAGTTCGATAAAAGTATATCTAAATTTATTTATTGTTATCTTTTCTTTTTTCGTTACTTTTACTACTACATTTTCTTTATATGAAATGAACCAAATGACTTTCTGCATTGTAATGAAAATTCAAGAATTTAATTAAATTTTTATTTCATTAATTTTCAAAGGAAAATTTATTTTGTTTTTTGAACGAATAATACAAAGAATATTTATTGAATTAATGAAACATGATACATTAAAGAGTAGTTCATTTAGAGAAAGAAATTACTAAGAAATTTAACATAATCAAGCTTGCTGTGTTATCGACACTTAAATACAAAATAAACATTCTTTAGATAACGGAAAATTCACAAGATTTACGATAGTTGATAAAAATCTACACTTCCATCCAGACTTGACTATCATACACGCTGAAGATTTGAAAATTTATGCATACTTATTTCATCGCAAATGGAGAGTAGCGACAAAATCGCACTACGATTGCTTAAGTACAAAGAGAATTATGATGAACTGTATCTATTTTTGCTTATAGCTTTTTAACCTGAAAAATACTGTTTTGAATTGTTTTTTTTTTCAAATACATAACTAATTCTTGATATTTTAGCATACTGCTGGTGCCTCGTTTATGGTCGTTTTTAATTGAAAAGATAAGCGCATTTGCTGGAAGATTGTTATCTATGGATGTCTCTGAGTACGCTACACCTATATGATGATTATCAACATGCTATTTCGTTATAGTGCATGAATCTTTTCTGAAATATGTAGATGATTATATTTAACTATTGGCAAATCTTCTGGAGAAGTTGAAGTAAATTGGCCATAATTCTAGAATGGATTGATGAACTCCAATCAAATCAATTGCTTAGAGAGCTGATACGTAGCATTACATAATAAGTAATTGGTTGACTCACGAAGCCCTTCCTTTTCAGAATTATGAAGTTCAACAGAATAATAGCCTTGATGGAGTATACATGCATAAATTTTTATATTTCCAACATATATGTTAGCGGAAACCCGATTGGATGAAGACTTTTTGTTCACTACTATATGATTGTTTGTTTTTAATTATTTTATTCAACTCATTTAAACAAAATGTTTCAATCATTAATAAAACAAAAAAAAAGCAAACATTCAAACTCAAACAATTTGAAAATTGACATGAATTTTATTATATTCTTCTTTTCTGAATTATCGAATGAAACTTGAAATTCCTATTATTAATAATAACAACGGATGGTACAGAATAAATTTGTCTGTTTGTATTTTTAATATTTCTTTTTTATTCTTCATTTGATTGAAATACTTCTGTTTATTAAAAGATAGTGTTTGAAATTCTGCTCAAAACGATATAATTTACGTTACGAATACAATTTCTTCCATTTTTTTTATGTTGGATTAAACGTAATTGTACAGTAAAATCAAGTACAGAATTGAAAATATTTTTCTTTTTTCGATTTTTTCCACAGAAAGTTTTATTTCGTCTATTAATGTTGCTTTTGCTATTATGTAATTCCAATTCATTTCATAAACTATAATCTAACAGATTTACATCAGGCATATCTAGTGACTAATGGTTCTTCGGTATGAATGCACCAAAATGACCTATACACCATTTTTCATTAAGATAACGTATGTGAACCTGAAAAAAAATTCCGCTAACATCTAGCTTCCAGAATTAGCTCGCTCTTATTGTGCAGATCAGTTACAGTTGACTCTTTGACCTTGTTTTGTGGGAAATAGCCAAGGTTTTTATGCGACAACAGCGGTACGTGCTTTGATTCAACAAGCTGTTTTCTTGTTGATATTCGTTTCTTGAAAAGTAGGAGTCATTTCACCTTTCAGATATTCATTTTTGTTCGAACAATGCGTGGATGACTGGAATGGTTTGGCAAATTAATAGATTCAATATCGTTGATCATTTTTATCTAACTTAATTGTTTGTAATGAAACCATTGCGATCAAATCTTTGCCGGTTGAACCAACATTTTTATATTTAATTTTTACAGTCGTTTATACGTCTTTGCTTTTCATCTTTTTTTCGAAAATATATTTAAAACAACTTTTAGTTCTAACCATATATGATTTTGTAGAGAACTTCAAGCATCATCTTTTGATTAAAAAAATATATGACTACGATCAAATGGAGAGAATAGCAGGGAAATATTCGAAATATCAATAGTCTTATTTATTCTGCGCCATTCGTTAATTATTAGTTGATAGAAACAGTTTAAATTTAATAGATATCAAAACTTGTTTCATGTCTTCTATCAAGCTTATTAACATATTCAGAGAGAAATACAAATTGATACAGTTTAAAAAGAAATTATGAGACAATTTCGTAGCTGTAAATCCTAATGTTCTTTCGACTCCAGGTAACTAATGATTTCATGGTGAAAATGAATGTATGTATTGAAAAAGAACAGAATGAATATATAATTCATGATGAAAAGAAATTATAAATTTATGATTTCATAGATTATTTGAATTGATTCAATTTAGTTGACAGTATTGATTCTATCAGTCGAAAAGTTCTTATAGGACAAAATGGGTTTTACTATATATCAAGTGTCCTTCATATATATATACGTATATGTACGATAATCTCTTCTGGTAATACAAGAATCTTTTTCAACATCTTTAAAAAAAATTTCACAGAACAGGTAAGTTAATAGCTATACTACAAATAAATGCCCTTAATAGCATGAATAAAAATAAATATGTCATGTTTGTTCTTACTCGGCCCTGTTTCGTATTTTATAATTCATTGAAATAGGAAGAAAAGTATTTCTTATTCATTTTACAAACATTCTTAATATTAATAAAAATCTTAACAATTTTAAAAAATAGTAAAAAAATTCTTTTCTATCAAAATTTTCTATTACTTATTAATTGATTAATAAAACTTCAAATTTTTGATCAATTTAGAATTATTTCATTTTCCTCTTTTTTTTCTGTTAAGAACAATCCTAGAGAACGAAAATATTCTTCACCGTTACATATATCTATGTAACAAAAAGTGACAATTTATCAGAACGATTTATTATATGACATTATTGAGAATAGGTCTTTTAAAATGAAAATTGATCAAATATTATAAGTAGATATTCATGATTCATCAATTATTTCTTAACTACATATGTTTTGTAAAATCTTCGATGTATCTCGATTAACCATTCAGTCTTGATCATAGAAGTGTAATTTTACTAATGATCAAATAAATCCATTGACGATATTCTCAATTGACATATAATGAAGTCGGTGATCTAACATGTAATCGTTTTGTTTTGAAAAAAAAATTTCATTCTTTCTTGTAAATCAATAAGTAGAAAGAAATATAGTTTGATTATTATATTTGATGTACCTGTTATCATTCAAATCATCAACTAAATAATGAGCAATGCATTTAATTCCTCATATTCAGACAAAAGGAACGAAAACATATGCATTGCATACGTTATTGATCATGAGGAGCGAGTAGTTCTAAACGTGTTCACATTGTTTTGAATATATTCCAGCGTCTATTTGCGTATTCTCTTCGTTTGTCTAGACCTAGCTTATTTAGAAAAGCCATATCATAAAATAATACAACAATATCAAACAAAGTCAATCATATCATACATCATAAAAAGATCGTTTTATATTTATTGAACTTTGAAGTACTTAAGAGTAAATCAAATAGATAAAAACATTCGATAAGATCGAACAAATTTCTTCGGATGATTTTTTTGTATACTTCTCTTTCAAAAATGTTATTTTGAAAAATATGAATTAATCTAGTTTTTTCTTTTCGACGATGAAAACTATACATTTAAAAATTATTTCATCTTATAGGTAAAAACAAAAAATACTAAGTATATTATTATTTTTTTTTACTCTTATGAAAGCTTTTTTTTCTTCTTTACAATATTGAAGCATGCGTTATGGTAGACAAACTTATATTCATCGTGAGTCTTCTAGCTCGAAAATAAATATTCATTTCAGCTTATAAACATATTTTTTTACATTGGTAAACGATGTATACTTATCATGTCAATATAATCGTTGAATATACATGCGACCTCCTGTTGGTTATTACATTGCATCTTGACAAGAAAACATAATGAAGCTTAATAAGATTCGATGATAATTGCACATTCATTTACAATAAAGTGCTTTTTTTTCCTCTGTTAGTTTTTACCGTTCTTTCTTTCTTTTTTTTTATATTTGAGAACAAAATCAATGAATATGAGTAGTTCATATTGCCTTTTATTCAGTTAGTCGAAAAAAAAGAGAGAAGAAATGAAATGAAGAACGGTAAAAAAATATATGTATTGACATATGTTAATCCAAAGTGTATGCAGAAAACGGATTGATATCACTTAGAGAAAAAAATTCATTTAAAAGACAAAGACAAATGGTTCGATACGGAAGAAAATATCGACGAGGTGGTAAGTAATTCAGATAATATAATGTCAATAAACACAATTACGTTTATTGTGTTTTTCTTTGTATTATAATTATTATATTTCATGAAGTGAGAATTTTCAATCAATAATAAATTGTTGCATAATATCTTAACAAATACTGATAATCTCATGCATGATCATTTGTCATTCCAAGACTGTCGTCTTTTTTTTTTCTTTTTGTTTTGTTTATAATCGCCAGATGTTTCATATAATTGGACATAACTATTTCTTGCTACGACTGTGAGAACAGTCGGAAACAATATGGTTGTACTTGTATATGAATACTGATATGGCTTTTTCTCTTTTGCTTTATTATTACTCTTGTTGTACATATACGATATACAGCCACAAAGAATGATTCTGTTCTTATGATGGTACAGCTGCAAACAGCCGTATACATGCAACTTAGACAAACAAAATAATAAAATCCTTTTTTTCTTCTTCTTCTTCTTCTTTTACGTTTTTTTTTCAGTTCTCATCCTACCTCTTTAGTTTTGCTCCCAATAAATCTGAAAGATGTAAAGAGAAGAGAGAACGAAGAAACAACAGCAGGAATAAAATGAGGCTTCTATATTAAAAGATGACTGCCAACGATTATAAGGTGAGACGAACGAATCTTTTTTTTCTTTTCCTAAGAAAAAACATGACTATAACAGCAAACATGTATTGACTCTACTTACATTTTCGACTAGAAATAGTTAAGCACTTATTTGAATTGACTTTTCTTCAATATAAAGCACACGAATTTGAATTTTTTAATAGAAAAACTGCGTTATTTGACAAAAGTAATTATGTTGGATACTTATGTAAATGTTGTTTACCTAAGAAAATAGTACATACTCATTTACAAAAATTGCTTTTTCTCCTTATATTAAGTAAAAATATAAGATTTAGTAGAAAGAAAAAAAAATTTTTTTTTATATATTTTTCTTATTTTAGTTCAATTGAATAATAATCGTCGTTCATCATCTATAACTAAAACCAGTCGTATTCATCTTTATAATTTTTTTTCAACAATTCGCTCAAGATTGACTTGTTTAATTGGTTATAAATGTTCAACAATGTCACTTATATTTCATCGTACTCGTCTTAAATCTCGTTATATATTATCAATATTTGTTGGTCTCTCACTTGGTTTTGCTTTAAGTTTAGCATGTTTACCAATAATAAGTGTGTGTGACAATCCTTTGTCACTTTTTTCTGAACCATTTGCATCTTCATTTAATATACGTTTTGGTAATGATACATTTTCATTGCATGATAAATTTGATCCATTTCGAATATTAAATCGAGAACCACGTTCAGTTGTTGATGTAACACTTGTTGATTATGGTAGTAAAGATTATGAACCGCAAATACATCCACCACAATTAGAAATAAATTTAAATAATAATAAATCATTATCAACATCAACACAACCATCAAATACATCGAAAGTAACACGACCTCGTTATATCGCTGATGAATTAGGTATACGTGAAAAAGTTCTTGTTGCTATATTAACTGAACCAAATCATTTAAATACATTTGCTTTTTTTCTTAATCAAACATTACAAGATCATGTTAATCGTTTATTATTTTTTATTGATGAAGATGCACAAGATTTTCCTCGAAGTATGCAAGTTATTTCTGTACATGATAAACGTGCTTATTTAAAACCATTTTATGTATTAAAATATCTTGCTGAAAAAATGATTAAATTATATGATTGGTTTGTACTTTTACCTGATAATACATTTGTACGAGGTTATAAAGTAAGTTCAATAAAATGAATTTTTTGGGAAAAAAGTATTGTTACTTTATTTCATTTTGTTTTTAAGTTAAATGAATTTTTAAATCATATTAGTATTAGTCAAGATCTTTACATGGGACAAGCATTTGATGATGTACATGCTGTTTATTGTTATTTTGGGTCGGGTATTATTTTATCAGGAGTATGTATTCAAGAATTTGAAATTATAGAAGATATTTTTTGTTTTTATTTGAAAAATTTCGTTTGGTATCGAGAAAATTGAGAATGAAGTAAAAGAATTCTTTTTTTTCTTCGAATAGAAATGAAGTTATCGATAGTAAGCGTTATCAGATTTCATCTGTTGATTTTCTAGTTATATGATATAGTAAGAACATATTGTTGACTTTTCTTTTGTCTATTGAGACAAATCTCACAAAAATAAAAAGAAGCCGTTTTATAGTTTCTGTTCTACAGATTATATTTGTTCATATAAGATAAATATTAGACAAAAGTCATTGTTTGCAAGTGGATATAGTAAAACTTATGCCTTTTTTTTTTAACTAAAGAAAGAGAAAATTATATGAACGATTTGGTTGTCAATCGAAATAAGCAAACAAAATATATATTTGTAGACTGTACTTCGCAAAATACTTGATGAACTTGATTGGTGTACAAATAATGCTTATTCACAAGATTTAACTGATAATATTGGACGGTGTATTTTAAAAGCAGCTAAATTACCTTGTACTAATACAGCCAGTGTAAGTCTCGTTTTGTCTGTTTTTTTACTGATGCATTTAAATTTAAACTTCAAATGAAAATTTTTTCTAGAATTATAAATTTACAGCTTATGTTAATTATCGATTCGAATATGATACAGATATTGATAGATTATCTAAAAGTGAAGATTTTAATCAAACATTAACAGTTCATCCAATAAATGATCTTGAAACAATGCTTAAACTTCAAAAGTATAATCAAATTTTTTTAAATACTTTTCATCTTAATTTTTCTACTCACAAAAAAATTTATTTAATTAAGATATTTTAATCAAGTTGAAATTGATGAAATGACAAAAAGTATATCCAAATATGAAGAAACAATTGAAGAACTATCATGTTATGCACCTGAAGGTTGTGGAAATATTCCATGGCCAGTTGGTGTATCACCATCATTTAAACCACCAACACGATTTGATGTACTTCGTTGGGATTTTTTTAATGAAACACATATCTATTTAAAAACAGATAATGATGTAATCAATCCAATGGATGGTATATTTTCTTGTTTCTTAAATAAAAGAAAACAAACTAAATTTACACTTTTTGTTTTTTTCAAGATGGTGATTATGAAGATGTACATGAAGTTATTGATCATGCTATCGAACAATTACAAAATAAATATGGAATTCAGTATGCTTAATTATAAATATACTGTAAATGAATATGAATGTTTTTTTTTTCGTTCTTTTTAAAATAGATTAAAATTGAAAAAATTAATTAATGGTTACCGTCAATTTGATCCAACACGAGGTACACATTATATTATGGATTTGTCACTTATTGATAAAAATCAAATAGAATATATTAAACGTGTAGAATTAATGCGACCATTGGGTAAGTTAAATATATTTTAAATATTTACTGCACATTTCAATTTCATATTAGGAAAATTCAATACTCCTATGTTTATTACACAGTCTACACAAGTAGTTAGAAAATCTATCTTACTGATTATTATAAAAGAAATAATGAACTTGAATATAGTTTTATTACTAAAGGGATGCAGGAGAATCCACATTCAGTCATATTGAGAAAATTTTCATTTTTTACAGCAAAAATCGTTTTATTAATCGAAAAAAAAATACATCACAGAATTGAAACAAAATATGCTCATATTAGAAAATGAAAAATGCATAAACATTGAACTTGAAGTGTTTAGTACAATATATTCATCTATTAGATGAAAAAAAACCCGATTGTATATACTACTTAGCACAAAATCTCAACTGTTAATGATTCAATTTTACACTTTTGTCATATATTATTATCAACCTTCTAATTGGAAAACAGATCCGAAAAATATTTAAAAACTCACATGAATAACAATAAGCTATTTTCTATTTGTATAAAGCTTTCAATATAAATGTGCTCAAGATTTCATTAGTTACAGAGGTATTCGCAAGGCAGGGTGATCAACCCTGGCCTACTGTCGAGCAGGACAGGATCAAATCTTTATACTCTACAAATATGAACATCAAATTTTCAAGTTTTTATTATCAAAAAGAGTGTTTTTTGGAATTTTGCATGTCAAAAATCAAAAACAGACCATAGATGGTCATACTAAATGATATTCCGAGTTTTTATCTATAGATGCAAATTTGAATGAAAATGGTAGAAAAATAAATAAATAAAATGACCATCGAAAAACTGTATTTGTATTTCTTATATCTATTGCTAATCTTAATGATACATCGAATTCTTATACTCCTGAATAATTAAAGCAATTCTTGTTGGAAAAAGATTAAAGATTTCATCCTTGAAAATAGTGATTCAACAAATGCATCAATACATTGAAGACGTACCTTTGAATTGTGCAATATTTTAAGCTTACGACGGCTCCAACTGAAAAGTTCAGATCAAAGGAGCTAAAGAACTGTTGATAAGTTCGTTTGTATGAAATTGATCTTTGCAAACAGTTCTTGTGAATAGAACTGAATTGTTAACAGAAATGAATTCTTTAAAAAAGAACTTTTCAATAGCTTTTCTAATAAGAAGTATTATCAAACTATTACACCTCTTATTATATTGTTTTAAAATAGAAATACGATAGAAACGAAAATAAGTAGAGTGATCATTATCTTCTATTAAATAGTAAAGAAATACTTTTCATATATTTACAAGATCAATAACTCATATGACTAAGAGACAAATTGATCAATTGATTAAACAACTCTTGAATAGTTTTCTTATTCTTTATTCCATAAATTAAAAAAAAGATTTGCTTTTAATACATATATATATATTATATTTTGTTTTTTAGGTCTTGTTGAAATAATTCCAATGCCATTTGTTACTGAAACAACTAAAATCTTTCTTATCTTACCTATATATACAGATGAACAATCAATTGCAATACGTTTTCTTCGTCATGCTAATAAAACATTATTTGATAAAGAAACTCGTGATAAATTTGAATTACTTCTTACACATGTTGTTGTAACAAAACATGAATTATCTCAAACACAAAAATGGTTTGATAATCTACGTCATGAAATTGATTTACTACATCGTACACGACCTCAATTAACAGTAACATATCATACTGTACTTTTCCCATCATCAACAATAACACGTTATACACATTCAACATATATATTAGATTTTTTTGAAACAAAACTTCGAACAAATTCCTTAATATTTTTAACAAATCCATATGTTAATATTGAATCAGACTTTTTAAATCGTTGTCGTTTAAATGTTATTGAAAATGTACAAATTTTTTTTCCTATTGCTTTTTATCAATATCATCCACATATTATAATACGTACACATCATATGACAGATAATTCTACAATTGATTTACATAAATCACATGGTTGGTTTAATTCCTATGCATTTGATCATTTTGGAATTTATATGAGTGATTATTTAAATTTAAAAAAATTAGTTTTATCAAATAATATATCATTATCATCAGTCAATCTTTATGATTTATTTGTACAATTAACTGATATACATATTTTACGTGCACCTGATCAATCATTACGTGTTCATTATAAATCAATAAAATGTGATTCAATAAAACGAACGAATATAATTGAATATAATCGATGTTTAATGCAAAGAGAAAAAGGTTTAGCATCACGTAGTCAATTGGCTATGATTATTATTGAAAATGAACCAACGAAAAAAACGACAAGAAAAAAAGATAAAAAATAAAAAAAATGCTTTTTCTTTCTTTCGTTGTTTTTTTTTATTCAAATTTTTTGAAAATATTTTGTATACGTAATACTTATTATTTTTTGTTGTTTATTAAATCTCAAAATCAATATTGATGAGTTTATTTCAGTAATTAAAGTTTAAACATATTGTCAATGAGACAGTTAGAAAATAAAAAACAACTTTATCATTTCAATATTGTCTTTTCTTAATAAATAATAATCTATTGAACAAATAGATTATATAATGTTAACTGACAATTTTTTATAAGAAATAATATTTTTTTAAAAATCTATTATCGAAAGTTTTGAGAGATGATTATTTTCAAACGAACAAGTTTAATTGCAATAAAATGCTTTAAATTTGTAAATTTATGCAAAATTGATATTATAATAAAAGTTGTTGTACTTCTAAAATAGTGCAGTGGCCAATTGACTTAAATAATACATGGCAAGTATCCGTTAATGCAGATATAGCAATAGAAAATTTATGCTTACGAAGGAAGTACCCCAGGTATCCAGTTTTATTTTGACTCATTCATACCTCATTTGATAGACTATTTTGAGGTAAGAAAAAGCCTTAAAAGGTTAGAGCTTATGGCCTACTGGCAGATAGTTATGACCATTGTACTGAAACTTTGATTGAGAGCCACTCGTTTCCGAAAAAAAATCAAATTGAAGAGTTTAGATTTGAAATTTCACCGATAAATAGATTTAATAGCCATTAGATAGTTCTGAAAGTTTCAGACCTATTTAGTGAGGGTGTGGATGTGGACTTGGAGGAGACCTACAGCCGACGTGTTACTTGTATATTATAAAAAGTATATCAAGTATGACAAACATCGTGACAAAAGAAGCATAACCTGACGAATGGCTCGTCAATCAATAGAAGAGAATGCTCCACAGAAAGAAAAATGGCATCATCTATTCATCATAGCCTATTATTATGACATGCATATTTATGCTTCATTGTTCTCTCAGATGGCAATGAGAAAAAGAGATATGTATATATGAATTAACATGATTGAACGGAATGAATTAGATACCCGCATTCTCACAACCACACTCACGTCCTCGATCGATTTATGGAATGGTTTGGTAGGTTCAAAAGCGACACGTGAAACTCGAATGGAAGGCGTTGCATGGATCACTGTTTGTCAATTTGATCGTTGGGTTGAAGACGGTTTTGTTCTAGATTGGATCATTGATAATTATACGAACCGACCAACTGGTAATTCATCTTCTTGGCTTTCCTACTACACTAATGCAACTGGGACCAGTATGCCGGTGATAAACAAAGATTTAGTTTCAACAGATCTTTACTGCCATTTGCCAACACATACATATTTTGATATTAGCAACTTTCTCGATTTTCTTCACGAGTATCACATTGAATGTAAAATTTTTCGCGAAGATTGGAGATATATCTTATTATTAGATGAAAATGGTACAATTAGTTCTTTTACAATGGATCTTGTAGAACCAAATGTTGCTTTGATGCATGATCGTATTGATTTTGATGTTAGTGATTTGTCATTAGAAAAAGATTGTATGAAAGAGTTAGGGATCAGAGTTGATATTCAACATAAATCCTATTTGATTGAACTAGAAACCATTGTGGACCATATCAAGAAGAAACGTTTTCAAGTGTTATGTCCTGTTGATGATGTAACGCAGCAACGTATTGACAAGATGCAAGCTCGAGGTTGGGTATAGATAGAAGAACCCGTACACGTTATTCCTAATCCATTACTCAAACATCAAGTAGTTCTAGTTTCGTTGCCTGAGTCAGCAGAACTGTAGAAATCATTGGTTTAAAAAATGCAAACTTCGATTGGACAACATGTTCGAATTGTCTTCATTGAACATTTATTGCAAAGCAATGCTCAGGTAATAATCCTAATGAACAAGAACCGTTTCATGGGACGTCAGAAATAGCAATTGATGGAATTATCAACGATGGCTTCGATGATCGATATTGGGGGTCAAAGGTAAATGAGGTGAGTAATAAAAGACACTATTGATTTCTGAATACTGATTTCTGTTTCCGCTTAGGTCATGGGACCTATTTTGCCGATAATCCAAGCCTCTCTGACGTTTATACACAACCGAATCCAATCGATCAAACATGTGTAATATATTTTAATAAAGTCACTCTGGGTAGAGAATCGCTGCTGTCAGCGATGAACCAAGATTTAAGATCGGTACCAATAGGATATCATTCTACACATGGAAAGCTTCCACACACCTCAAACTCTGATGAATTTATTGTGTATCGCTTTGGACAAGCATTACCTTATTTAAAGATTATTTAGAAAGCCTAGTATCATACAGGATCGAACTAAGGGAACTATTTCTTTCATTCGCTTGTTCTTGAATTGAATAAAATATATAGATATTTAAGTTTTTCATTTTCTATCAGGTTATCGACTTGAATAAAACAAAATCGAACATTGACTTTACTTTTCATCAACGCTTGATAAACGAGTGAAATTCTAAACTTTTTGTCTCTTCTTGTAATATTCATTTACGTGACCTCTCGTGCAAAACAGAATACATTGAAAATGCCATGAACCAGCAATTATCTAATGGCGAATACTTCTTTATTTGAATAATACGTTCACAAAAAAATCTATCGAATTGTGTGAAGTGATTACTACCTAGAAATTTTCGTGTCTTTATGCAAGCACAACAAAATACATAAAGACATGCACGGTCATAGTATTATTCTTATCTTAGTCGTAGTTTTGAAAGGTAAAATAGTAAGAGATGACAAGTCACGTATCAATTACAAAATATGCATACGTATTTATTAACGATCATTTGATACCGTGATGTTCGAGAACTGTTCCCGCACAGATTTCATCAACATATTTGTGTCAAATTTAAGCATAATACAAAGTACATTGTTTTAAAGAGAATATATTTTCTGTTAAGTTTGGTAATGAAAATGTTTAAGTTTTATTTAGAGACAAATGCTAAACTTAAAAAGTAACACTCTAATAAAAATAGGTTTATCATCGAGCTTTCAAAATTCTGCGTTGTTTGCACTGATCCAGGGCGTGGTGGATGGTTATGAGTGGTTATGTGGTTATGTGGATATGTGTACGAATGTAAGACAAGAGAATACAAACACTCACACGCTTATTAACAAGTCGAGAAAACACTATCGAACGATAGTTGTAATCTTACCAGTGCATTTGAAATTCTCACTGACTTAGCCGTTCTCGAGGTGAAAAAAATAAATAAAAGGATAGAGACGTGATATTCTAGTCGATCGATTCATTCATCTATGCTTTGTATTTGTCTACAATTTTTTTCTCGTTCAGAAAACAAGTATGATTCGTGTCAAGAGATAAAATTTAAAATGCTGAAAAAATAAAACAAACATTCCTTAGCACTATTGTAGTTCCTCTTTTTTTCGACATTTTTCTTTTCGATCAAATTTGAAATCACTGAGAGTGAAGTGCCTATCTTAAACACAGTATTGTCTTTTCGGTTACTCATTTCATTTACGACGGTTAAATCCATGATTTTCCAACTAATCATAATTTTGTCCTATTCAATCCATCAGCCAGTGAACAAAGAAGAGCCGATAAATGCAACTGCAACAATACATGAAAATAATTAGTTTTATGCATTGGACACATGGATTCGAAATTCTAATTTAATAAAAATAAGATTTATTTGTCTGCATCTCACTTTCGAAGATTAGTTTTGATGCAACAACATACATTATAACATAACCTGATTGCTTGATTTAAACCATCACTTCTTCTCAAATTTTCTTGGGATTTTGACCTCCAAACAAATCCAGTGTCGATAGACATAGGGTTATTAATAGTTAGTCAAGGTTTTACAACACCGGTGAATTCATGCTGAATCTTTTTGTTTGCCAAAAATGGGAAAAGTATAAGTGCTTCAACAGGTAGACTATGATGCGATTCATTCGATTGACACTAATCATTACACTCATCTCATCCAGAGAGTGAGAGTTCTTGTGCACATCTGCCAAATATTTATCTTAAATATGAATTCTATCATGAACATACACGTGAGTTATGTGTACGTCACCTCTTAATATGCCACTCGAAAGTCAACTAATACAGTTAAGAGAATAATACGACAAAGAATCCTTTTTATTGAAACCGTGGAAGTCTTTCCTAAGAATAGTACCACTACACTGTTATTCTTATTCAAAATAATCCTTCTAAAAATGACTCACTCCTATTAGAAGCTCATTTCCACATTTTTTTATTAAAATAGTAAATTCACTATCATAAGCATTACAAAACACCCAGTTCTTCATAGAAAACTCATTATTGCAACAACGACGCATGCTTGTTAAACTGAGTATGATTGAATTCAAGGGAGGGCTGGAAAATATCCCCCAAAATTGAGAAATTGTTCCATTTATAGCAGAAATTCTTTACTCTACACAAAGTCAAGCAGAAACGGTTTTTATAGCGAAACATAATCCATCATTAAACATTTTTGATTAGAAACATATCAAACATATCTGTCCTCACAGGGAGAAATGTATAAGATGTAAGGATAAATCGATTAGATTATTCACTTAACATAAGGAGAAATGAATAAAATTATTTTTCGAGTATAAGGTGAAGTACTAGTAGACATGGATTTTTATACAGCAAAAATATAAAATTTTCTATTAGAAATCAATAATACATTTCTACCCTGACAAGCAGAAATGTATAAGATGTAAGGGTAAATCGATTAGATTATTCACTTAGCATAAGGAGAAATGAATAAAATTATTTTTCGAGTATAAGGTGAAGTACTAGTAGAAATGGATTTTTTACAGCAGAAATGTAAATATTTGTAGCAGAAATCGTTCATTCATTGCAACCTTAATAAGGCTAAACGAAGAATGAAAAATAGAGCGCGGAGCAGAGATTGGTAAACATATGCTTGTATTCTTTCCTTCTGTTTCTTCTCGCTGATGTATTTGTTTATGGTAAATTAAACGTGATTTATATATATGTTTATATTCTCTTCTTGCATTTCTCCTTGATACATGTGACTTTTCGTGGGACGAACTATTTCTCCTTAAACAGGAACAATTCCTCAATCGATTGGTTTAATCGTCCGCTGCTGATGTGGGTGGCTGTAGTTGTTGACGTGGGTGTGGGATCTACGTGTGAGCGTAAATAAAAGACCGAGACCGAGACTCACATCTACACCTACACCCACATCTACACGCACACCCACATCTACACCCACACCCACATCTACACCCACACCCACATCTACACCCACACCCACATCTACACCCACGCCCACATCTACACCCATACCCACGTCTACACCAACACTCACGTCTACACCCACACCCACACCCGCATCTACACTCACATCCTCAAGAAGTAAAACAGTATTTCTAAGTGTCTGGATTTATATGAACACCAAAATTTCTTGAAGCTTTTCTCAATTTCACGTTTCTTCTCTAAAATATATACTCCGGTCTCCTACGATGAAGTCGTCGATGCTCGCACTCGAAGCGGTGGATTCGGATCGATCGTCTCGCTCCCAGCAAATGTTCGACTACGAGTCACTCGTCGATCCTTCGTTCTTGCTTTCTCCTGAACTTGTTTGAGAAGACTGTGGACATATTTGATTTCGAACGAACGTAATCGAGTATAATCATCTCCATCAATCACATTGTAATTCTCAATGTAGAACGAAGGAATCGATCCTTGTTGAAGATGTCGATGTAATCGTTTGAGAATACTCGTCACACGATGAATAAGCCCACCCTTGATCCATTGTTGTGGTTGTGGATATCGACTAATTTCATGTAGAAATTCGGTTTTTATCATGTACGATGTCACTAGTTCATCAGCTACATAAGTAACTTTATCAATTAGACATTCGTACGGATTGATATAACGTAAAGTTTTTAAACTCAAATAAGCATCTTTAATTTCGTCGACTAAGGAAAGAAAATCGACAAGTTCAGTGCGCGAAGTCGAGATACGCCAGAAATAGGTTTGATCGGGATTCGGACTGCGTGCAATGATCTGAAATTCGGGTTTCGCCAAAGGACAAGCGACTTTGACTGTACGTGGCCATCGATACACGGTTAAACAGGGTACCACATCGATTTTAATCGTCAACGAAGCATACTGAGATCCATACCATTCGGCATGGATGGCTGTGCCACAGCGTTTATCGCCACTAGTCCATTCGAATTTGAGGTGTTTGAATTCTTGTATTGTTTTTTGATGGATGACAAACGCGCGAGCGGAAGTAAGCAAGTGATAGAATCGTTTGCGGACCTTCATCGACGAGACGCATTTTGTAGTCGGTTCTAAATAGGGACGAAGTTTTTCACGTGCTTCATCCGTTAACAACGGATACAACCGGCCGTAGCCAGGTGGATCATTGACATCATCGATGAAAGTGCAAAGACGTTGAATCTCAGTCAAATTGATCATATAATCGAATTCATTCGGTACACCGATTCGTGTTCGCTCATAATAGGAACCACTGCATATCAAATCATGACGAAAGAGTTGATCGAATTTTTCCATTTCAATAATTAATAGTCGCACATAAGTTTCTACTTCTTGACGCATTTCATCTTCTTCAAAGGTATAATCAATGCGATGTATGCCGAGCAATTGGGTCAGATAGGTTTTCGGCGAAGATTCATCGAATTTAGTCTGATTTTTTCGATTAGCTACATCGATCAT